ACTCCTTGCTGGCTCGGGTCCACTGGAACAGCTGGGTGCAGCCGTCTCCGTTCTTCTTAGCGTGATATTTTCACTAGAACTAGAATCATAGTCTCAGTGTTCCTTCGTAACTTGCTCTTAGTAAGTGTATTAACATATTCACTGCCGGGATGCTGTAGCTTCTGTCTTGAGCCTGGTTTTGGTCCAATCATGAAAAATAAAAAAAATGAGGATGAGAGGGAAGGACCAACCCCACCAATCTCATATTCTTCCCCATCCAAGGATTAAGAGTTCTGGGCAGTGTTTTACTTATTGTTAGTCATCTCTGTTCACATCTACCTTCAGGTTTCTTACGGTTATGCAGGCTCTAAACCATGAGTGACCCAAACGTAGATCCCCAGATGTTTTAAAACGTCAACTTCCATGATGCTTTGTCATTTTAAAAGCATGCAAAGCATTAGGGGGTTGTAGTTCTACAACATCTGGGGATCTACCTTTTGGGCACCCCTGCTCTAAACTAACATATACTAGCAGACTGGATTTAAGAGCACTCTTTTCCTACAGTGGTGAAAGTGTTGTTTGAGAATATGTAGAATCATTTGCTGCTAGAGGACTTTAATTACTAATAATGGTGGTTCCAGTGGGATCCAAACTGTGACTCCACCTAAGATGAACTAGATCTGAGCTTCAAGGTGGAGTTTCTTTAGTGTGTGGTTTATTGTTTTGTTTTTAACAAGCATTGTGTTCTGTTTATTCTGTCACAGTGGTAGGCAACCTTCAGAATTCCAGATGGTGTTGACTTCATCTCCCATAATGCTGTTGAAGCCATATTGCATTCAAAGCAACAGGGGAGATGTAGTCCACAACATCTGGATTGCTGAATGTTGCATACCCTTGTTCTACCACAAGAGGACATAGTCTTAAATTAGAGGAACAAAGGTTTAAAAGTAATTTCAGGAAGTATTACTTTACTGAGAGGGTAGTGGATGCATGGAATAGCCTTCCAGCTGAAGTGGTAGAGGTTAACACAGTAAAGGAGTTTAAGCATGCGTGGGATAGGCATAAGGCTATCCTAACTATAAGATAAGGCCAGGGACTAATGAAAGTATTTAGAAAATTGGGCAGATTAGATGGGCCGAATGGTCCTAATATGCAGTCACCCTCTATGTTTCTAACAGGTAGTCAGTCTTTTGTGCAATAGCCTACTTCCCTTACTTAATCAAAAAATTGTATTTTCACCCACACTGACATAATTGTGCAGCATGCAGGTTTATATAGATGTTACCATCTTAAAGGAGAAACAGTCCAATGGCTGCAGACACACACTGAACTTTGCCGAAGATACGCATTAGGTCTCCCCCACCGGTTGACGGCGAGGGTGGAGCATGGGCACAGCTAATCCAGCGCCGAGGGACATCTGCGCTGGATTCAGGTAAGTGACATAGGGGTAATTAACCCCCTTTACACTACTGGGGTGGGGGAGGCATTGACAAAGTGGTAAGCTATAGTGACAGGAAAAATAGTTGGTTTTCCTGGCACTATAGTTTCCCTTTAATTAAAGTGTTCTCTCTAAAAACACTAAAATACAAAATATAAAGGTGGGTGCTCTTCCTTATACAACTCTATATTCAATGAGCCTAATGACACTGCCAGGGAGAAGAACATGCCTGATGGACTAAGGTGACTAAGCCTGTCAGAAGGGATACATAATAGTAAATTGGCCAACTGTGAAGAACAGGCTTGGCATGCCCAGATTAATGAACCCTCTGGCACACACAAATATTCAGTGTTGTACATTATGAAATTGAGATGGATTTAATAATAAATTAATAAACTAAATGTTATAGATATTTGCATTTTTGACTTCCCACCTGGCAGACCATGAACACAGAGTGACACATTTTAGAAAAAAAACATGCTTGAGGCAAAAATCTTCTGGAAGAACTTTTTCCATTTTGTAAAACTTTAACACTTGAGGGCCATATCCTGCTAATCCTCGATATGGAGAAGACAGAAAAAGTTTTTCTTCTCGTATTGCCAAAATCTCCCTTTGGTTTTTTGATTTTGTGTACTAGATATGACGTAATGAACAAGCTGCAAGATGTAGTGTGTTTCCGGGTGGGGGTATTTTTGAAAGCAGTACCAGAAGAGAGTGCGTGACAGCTCATGTCCAAACTCGTTGATGTCAGTGTAGTCTTTGCCATAACAATTGCAACCCATGAAGTAATGTTATAATATGATTTGTTTGTTCTTTCACCGTGATCCATGTATGAATCACAGTAAATAATGAAACCGAGATTTATTGGTTACAAAATGTTTTAAAGCACAACAAAAAAAGATAACTATGGAAATAGAGTAAACGTACAATTGTCTAAGAAGTACCCAACACAGGCCAAGAATAACACTTGGAAGTTGAAATGTTATGGCCTGATGTAGTATAAATGCAATGTCCGCAAACTGAAATCGGTAATGTTTAATTGGCTGGGTTATTTACAGAGCAAGAGTAAAAGGAAAGGTGAAAAGTTAATTTAAAAATTCCCTTGTGCAAACTAACTGAAGTAGGCAAAACCTAAACAAGCTCAGGTGGTACGCTCTGATTTACCTACTTCACATGGTGTGCTGAAAAGGATGGCTGGGGTTGTTCAGTAACTGCTTGTTCTGACAATTCCACCATTGCCCAACCTAATATTATTAATGTAGAGTCGTGATTGGTCACAGTAAACTCACTGAACTATTCCTGCATTTTCTAATTAAAGGGATAGTGCAATGTTCTAGTTATTCACTAGAATGGACAAAATTATACCCATATAAAAATGTGACCGACAAAAAAGCATTTTAATAAAAAAATGTCACACAGTCACATTCTCCCTAGCAGCGACCTTTTAATTAGCTATAATTTAAATTAGAGAAAATCTGATAGAATTAGGACATCCCTGTCAAAATGAATAGGTGATCTCCCTCTTCCTATATCTTCACCAAGTGATTAAATGGTCATAATATAACCCCACTAACTCTTCTATAGCACATACAATTAAAACAAAGAGCCCTAACTTTCACAGGCGCAGTGATTTGCCATGATAGGTCTGCTTTGTCGCATGGTCTTTAGTTCATGTTGTTCCTCCTAGCCACTGGGCTCTTCCTTTACGATTTATTTTAGTGCAATCTGCATCACATAACTAGTTTTCTCAACCCGGCCTTAAAGCAACTCTGTCGCCTGCTGTGGTCTTTGTATACTTTTCCAAAGACCCCCAATGGAGACATCGCAACTTAGGGTTTGGTGGTTATTGTATAATGTCAATGTATTAATAGGCTTCAAATTTGTATCAATGAAGACGAATTGTGCTTCTCAAGTACTAGGGGAATTATGGTATTGAGTATAGATTGCAAAAAGCTTACACTGAGAGTACATTTTATATAGTATTTTTATTTTATTTATTAATTGCTACTGCATTTCTGTTTAGAGGCCAGCTGTGTTTTATTGTCCTTGTATGTACATTGTACAGTGATAATAAAGTTGAATCTGAAGGTGAATTATACTTACCAGATCCTGTCCTCCGAGGGCAAAACCGCCCTCAGTGTTCGGCTCCTGGTGCTTCATACACCAGAAGTCCACACGTTAGTGTACAACACAAGTGTACAACACTGATTTCTATGGAGGATCAAGCAATACCCTCCTTAGACATAGTCAGGCAATGAGTGAGATAATGCCTTAACCCCACAAGTGACAAAACTCGACAGCGCTAGCACTGTTAATTTGAGGTTTACCATGAGACAAAGTAGTCCCTATTTTGTCTTATGATATCTTTAGAGTGCACTGTAATTTTAACGAATATCATAAAGATCACATGCTCAAATTCTTTTGTTGTTCGGTTAATAGGGCTACTTTAAGTTTAGGGCTACTTTAAGTACCTCTACCTCATAACTGCAAAGATATTGAACTATAACGATATTGAAATGTAAAGTTAGCAATAATGTTAAACATTCTCATCGGTATAATTAGAACAATTTTAGAATTTTATTTTGAAAAACATCACATGTTAGAAATAGGAAACGTATACACTCAAAACCAGTAAAAATAATGAGGTATATTTATAAGTAAAAAAATAGAATGATCTATTAAAGTGCATTGAAGTAGCTATAATTTTAAGTAATGTAAAAGTATGATTAATGTATTTTTTGTATAAAATTTAAATGGTTTTCCACTCACTGATCATATAAATATTTATTAAAACAGCGGTAAAATGAGCCACATTATACACACAACATCTGTTTTGTATATTTATAACAGTTTAAACAGTGCCCCCTAGTGATGCTTAAATATAGATACTATGATAGTACTATACTTTTTAATATGGGAGCTATAATTGCAAGGGCACATGAATCCTACCTGTTCTGCAAGCTATTACCCTAAAACTCCAGTCATTAAAAAGAACACACTTTAATACCTCAATAAAAAGTTCTAAATGCCAAAATGTATGCTATTTACTTGATGGAACAACAAAGCTGCCAGAGCTATAATTATTAATATTGTTTTTTTGGTTTTTTTACATGAAATGTTTAGGGAAAAAGAAACCCATTGTATAACAGGCATTGCCATGTAATCCTTCAACACTATGGCTCAAATGCAAAGGAACACCCAACAGAAATGTTGATATAGGTGATGACATGCAATTGGTGAGCAAAATGTTGCACGGATGGGGACAAAGGCACACTTTCCAAATATATTTTACATTAAGATACCCAAACAACTCAATTAACCCCCCTCCCCCCAAAACAAAACAAAACAGTTTAAAAAAAATAAATATCTTTAGAAATACAAGATTAAAATAAAATGAAACGGAGGTCGGTACCATAACCTCATTACGATCGATGTCTGAAAACAAATCTGTACAAGTGTATTGTACACAGCATATAAAGGATATCTCTATGTGAATATGCATAAATACACAAACAATTATATACACCGTGTTATTCTACAATGGCAGATATTAACATGGAAGAAGAGAGATGATCCTGCCAGATCAGTATCTTCTTTGCAGCCGTGTGCGTGGGTCAGCAGAGAAACTGCGATATTTAGTCATTTGTGTGGTGTTCTCTGTAGGTTGCGATGACAACTGCTGAATATTCTGTAAAGCAATACGATAAATATCTGGTTAATACATTATGGATTACATAGCAGTCCAGCTTACTTAAAAACTTGATTTTATTCTTGAGTCTGACTATAACATGAACAGCCACTGCATGGAAAACAGAAATTCACCAGTTCAGCCCCCACAAAAATATAAATCATGATGTACACCTGGGACATACGCAATCTTTGTGGTATTCTACCTGTGCACAGAATAAGGGCTCCTATGGACTTGGCAATGTATGATTCTCTATGTGACTCTTAATAATGAATGTGAACACTGGCACTCCAGATGCTTGTGAACTACATCTCGAGAGGGTTTACCAAAAACAAAGAAATGTTCATCCCTGAAATCTCGGAATTAATTAATGATACTTGTCTTCGTATATTTATAACTGCACTTGATTTCATTTTGGTACTGTTTTGTCACATGTGCAACTCCAATATATGATTATAGACTATTATGATTATATAAACAGAATTTTTGGCATACTGTAATGTTACCTGTGGCTCTTGCATACCATGTCTGCTATTCCGGGCTCTCTGACACTGTCCACCATTCTGGTCAATGTGATAATGGTTGCTGCTCCACTGCATCCTTTTAAAACTAGTAATGGACCGATTATCAGTTCCGACGATTATTAGAGCCAATATTTGACATTTTCCGATAATCCGTATTGGTCTTGAAATTTACTGATATTTACTCACCTCTCCCAGTCACCACATGCCATCTTCTGCATCTGGAAACTCCAGTCGTTAGCCAAAGAGGCACCACATCACAATATCACATAACTCCTCCCCTTGAGTCCCTGCATGTGGAGCTCAGCTGAAGGCAGGGAGGCAATACAGTGAATTACCTAGTGTAATGTACTGGCCTCACTGACATGGTGATAGGAGTGTGATTGTGGTCGGCAACCACACTCCTATCATTAACAGCACAGTACATGCTGGGATCTCACTGATCCCAGCAAATACTGGCCGCCTGAGAGTGATAGGAATGTGCTGGCTGTCAACATGTTCAGTTAATGCCAGATTTGTGTAGAAATTGTATTGCATTTTCAAAACTTTAAATGTACACAATATCGGTACCAGTTATCGGCAACAAGCCCAAAGCATGACCAATAATCTGTATCAGTATCGGCTCTGGAAAAATTATATCGTCGATTCCTATTTTTATTTATTTTTTTGTAAATCTGAATTTTTGAGTTTTCACAGATAAGAAATACATGACATGTAAAAACAGAGTGTCGAGTCTTGAGAAAACAATATTGTTTAGAGACATATGTAGGCTTGCAGGTCTTCCGACATTTAGCAATGATATACACCACGCAGGGTCTCTGATAGATTCCTATTTTGTACCAATTAGATTGGACATCATTTTCCTATTCTTATGTGTGAGCTGTGCACAGTAATGACACTGACCTATCCAGACTTACCTCAGCCTATTTAAATCCTTCAGATGCCCATGTTTGTGCCCTGTTGTGGTTTCTTAGTATTACCAATAGCGTATTTATATTGTCTGTTTATTCCAATGCGCCTATTTCAGCCTTGCTTTTGGATTCTATCATTTCTATTTTAACCTTAACTCGTTTCTTCCTGCCCCACCTGCTTGGGATATTCACAACTGTGACACTTTGTTAAATCTGACCACTTTAAATTCTTTACTAGTATAAATTACAACTAACGGTGTGAATTCATGGTGTATTCGATTTTGTTGTGATTATAAAAATAACATGAAACTATTTTCACTTATTTGTTTTACTCTTACCAGTGGTGATTTGAATCCATTTGCAGCAATTGGTGGTTTGACAATAACATCTTGCACATCTAAAACCAGAGCAAGTTACAATTCGGTTACAAGAAAAAACACATCTCATATAATAAAATGAATTACCCAGAAATGTATCCATGTGGATAGCAGATTGCGTTAAAGAACGACTCAATGCTAACTTTTCTTAGAATTTTAAATGAAGACAATCTTGGAATTTGCCCTGAATGCTTGTAAATTTGAAAAACTAATAAATGTTTTTATCGCACACATTTACACCACCCACTTGACCTCATCTATTGCCTTATCTACCTTGGACTCTCTGCAGCATGTGTACAGCTATAGTCCCAATGTTGAGAATGTGCAGTATAATCTAGTGAGTTTGTAGGTGAGATGGGGATAAGAAGTCATGTTTTGTCAGGAAGTGAAGAAAAACAAATGCTGACCCCGAGAGAAGAGAATGACATTCATATGCGATTATACGGATTCTGTATGAACATCTTGAAATGGGCCAATATATCAAATGCATAAAAATGTTTGTGAACATGAGTGTGGAGAGGGGCCACGAATTCTTGTTACCTGTTAATTACGATCTTCTAAGATTTCAGTGTAATATTGGTCTGGGTGTATATTCCCATGTCCCTTAACCCTGCAAAGGTAATTATTGCAGTTTTTAGTTAACTGCAATAATTATCTCTATGGGTTAACTCCAGCTTTAGAAGTTGTCTGTAGGGAGCTATAGTGCCAGGAAAACAAACAGGTTCCAGTGGCACTTTAGTTTTACTGCTGTAGTCACTATCTGAATTAGGACCCCTCTTCTATCTCTGTGGACAAAGTGCAATCATATTGAGCACTTTTAAAAGCACTTGCTTCTTTTCTGTTTAGCATTCACACAGTTAAAGGGATATTCTGCAACATTTAAGGGTAAAGTCAATATTGCTAGGTACAACTTCTTCTGCATCTGCAATTTCACCAAGCACTTTGAACAGCATTCATATCATGTCTGTATAACAGCTGGAGAGTAGTAACAATAACAGTAAAAGGGTGCAATTACATTGAGCACTTTTCAACAGCTTTTATCTCTTTTGGATTTAAAAGCTACGCATTTAAAGGGATACTCTGCTACATTTAAGGATAACATGCAAGTTTGCTATGTACAGTTTCTCCTGTATCTGCAATTTCACCGAGTACTCTCAACAGTATTTACATCTTATTTGCATAAGTGCTACATAGTGACTGCGCTTTGTAACCATATCTGTCACTGGGATATTCTGTTATATACATGGGATATTCTGTTAAATACAAACGTGTTATTAACCCTACAGTATTAAAAACAAAATTTAGGTCTCTAACTTCACTTTACACCCCTTAAATAAGTTAAAATAGTTTTTTTATTCCAGCACTGTGCGGGTCCGTTGCGCTGGCCCTGCCCCTGTACCACCTCTTTGGCTGGGGGCAGAGCCAAACACTGTTTTAGCCAATTAGCATATCCTCATAGAAATGCATTGAATCAATGAATTTCTATGGGAAAAGTTCAGCACTTCCATGCAGAGCATAGTAACGCTAAACGTCAGAGCTGCGCACTGTGCAGCACTACCCCGGAAGCACCTCTAGTGGCCGTCTGAGTGACGGCCACTGGAGGTTTCCCTAGGTAGCGATGTATACAATGTTTACAATGTAGCAATATTTACATTAAAAAGCCTGCAGGGACGGACTATACTCACCAGAACAACTACATTAAGCTAAAGTCGTTCTGGTGACTATAGTGTCCATTTAAAAGCATAGTGCAATATTGTAAGGCACAACTTGTTCTGCATCTGCAATCTTTCCACAGCTCTAGATCCTGAGACACTCTGAATACGCATTGTCTCAGTATTTACTGGTATATCTATGCAGCTATAGACATGTTTGGAGTCTGAATGTACTGCCAGTAAAGATACATTGTAACTCCTTTTGGAACTTGGTGCAATACTGTTTAGCATTTTAGATACATTGTCCTTAGTAAGACTGCTATTTCAACATTTCTGACTATACAGCTGCATAGTGGATGTGTTGGATTATATGATTAATATTGAATAGTAGGGTACCCCGTTTTGTATTAAGCATAGATTGCAATATTATTAGGCACCATAATACTTTACTCTCGTCAGGTAGTTTTATTGCTCAAGTTCAATATGTATATGTGTATTTCAGTGATTTATTTCTTAAGGACGTTCTGACTTTAAAAAGCTTCAGAAGTGTAAGCTATCGCTTGCAATAACTATACACTTTTTGCATGTTTTTTTTGTACTTTTATTTTAGTTTTTGTGTTCAATAGAGTATAAAATTCATTTTTAGCTTTTCTTTAGAAGCAATTCCTTAATTTATTGTATACTCTAAGTCCTGCAATGTCAAGTGTGCAGTTCCGTTTCTTAACTTTTGTAGCAACCTATTTTGCCTGACATGCTTTAACCAATAGGTCCTGCTTGGGTTCACTGCTGAGCCCAGTTATCAAGAGGAATGAATGCATTGTTATTATTTAAAAAAAAAAAAAAGTTTTTGTTTAGTCACTTTTTTAAGAATAACATTGTTTCATGTCTTCTCACTGTTTCCATTGTTTCCCTTTATCAATCCTTATAAATCCAACAGACTGGATTTCAGATAGTGCTCCAGGATTCGTCCTTGGTAATCAGACATATAAGTACTTTGCAGTGGCTAGATGGGCTGGGCATGAGCAGACAAGATGGCATTGTACTTACTCTGCAGCCTTTGATTTAGCCGATCCAGTGACTGAAGAAGTTTCTGTTCCTCCAGAGATAACGCACTGGGCCCTATGGTGTGAGCTTTGTGATTCAGAACATTTTGCTTGGTAGGGATTGCTTGCATGGCAGCTAGAATTTCTCCATCCGTAGCAGATGTTTCCACTAGATTCTCAGCCACCATAAACTGAGCTGTGCTATCTGAAACTAAAGAGATCACAATGTTACTAAAATCTAAACAAACCGCACGTAATCAGTTCTACGAGCTAACAAATAACTATTAAACTAGTGGACAGGTGGTATATTTCTGTGATACGAGCATTTCAGTCATGTTGTTTATTTGGTTTTCATAAAACTAAATATTTAACATGTTTGTGTTGTCAATACGGTCAAAAATATTTCTGCATCACTCAGGGAACAGTTAATGGTCATAAATATATCCAGTAAAGGAACAAACCACGTATTAATCAATAAGTTGATTGAAGATAACAAATATATTTATTTCAGTATTGCTATGATTTCACTGAAAGACAATTTCTTTAATCATTTTGAGGGCCATGAAATATATTTTGTGTGTGTCCTGTATCAGTACAGTGGCATTTTATACATAATTCAGCACGCAAATTGCAAACATGTAGCTGAATGTTATCGTTATATTATAGTTTCATGTTGTAAGAAACATTAATTGTGACAAATGTAGTTAGTATGCAAGATTATGTGTGCTCCATTCAGTTCGCAATGCCCAATATAATGCTGTACGCCAGAAATTGTGGGATATATCATTTTGGAAGAGTGCATTTGGTCTCACAGCTCAGGTAAATTTTCATCTGTACATTTGTAGGCAATGTATAGAGAAAATGTAAGAGGACCACAAGAATTGAATGGATATGGGCAAACCAGTGTTGTAAATTCAAGTGCAATCACGGTTTGTCTGAACTTTGCTGCTGATTGTTTTGAAAGGCGTGAGCAAGCTGTGTGTGATCACTACATACACAATATTTAGACTATTGCAATGCAATGCAGTGCTTCCCTATATAATGTTAGATGGAAAGGGGGTGGAGCCTGGGCACCACAGATGAAGATCATTTTAAAATCTGTATGGCATCCGAAAATATTCCATTTTAAAATAATGGATGTAGGTTACAAAGCCTTTTCAGAGAAAATGGTTGACTTCGATGATCACATAAGTGCACGAATACCAGCTATAAGCAAATTCTTGTGGTTACAATTAGAGGTATAATGATGTAGCATAAGTACACAGTTCCAATAACATAAAGACAATGAAAGCACCTACATATACTACGTATAAGGATAGTGTTCTTGATCAAAGACTGAACATTACACAATATAAAGCAGGAATCACACACACACACACACACAATATAAATTAAACTATATTTCTACCAAAGCTATATAACATCTATGTCAAGTGAACCATTAGGAGTTTTTCAAATGATATGGCCTAGACATACTTACCTGCTGCTGTATCAATATACATAATGTCAGGTTGTATCTAATACAATTACTTCTGTAGGAGAATAACATGATCAAACATAGATTATCAAGCAATTGTATTGCTTTTCATGGGAATTAAACTATTTACTAACGCTTTCTAATAATTTTAATCTTCTGGATACCTGACTCAGAGCCAACATGACTGGCAAATGGAATTCATTTATGTAACAATTTTAGTGTATACTGCAAAACCCCAAAACTGTGATTCCCCAAGTCACCAATGAATATTAACAAAAACTAGATTGGCAACTATATAAAAATGGCAGCAACAGTTAAAAGACTTCATGATCTGAAACTCATTTAAGAATTGGATACACACAGAAGTAAGGTATTGTGCAACAAAGAAGTAGACAAACTATATTCTTTGCAATGTCAAAGTCACTATGTTTCATAGATCACATGTAATTGAATCAAGCCCTACCAGGTGCTTTCAAGTGAGATCAATATAATAAAGAATACAAAATGTCAAAGCTTTCCGGTGTACTCAAGTGTCCTATTAAAAGTTTCTTCATCATAAGCTGAATTTGCAGAATTTACATCTGAGGAGTGGCCACTTGGAGGTGTCGCTAGGGGCAATGTAAACACTGCCTTTTTCCTGAAAAGGCAGTGTTTGCATTAAAACGCCTGAAGGCAATGATTATACTCACCAGAACAACTACATTAAGCTGTAGTTGTTCTGGTGACTATCGTGTCCCTTTAACATTTTTTTTCTTTTTTAAAGTCGAATTTTAAAAAAAGCTTTGTTCTTTTTTTATGCTAAATTTTTTTAAAAAATTTTAATTATTAATTTTGGTTATGTGCCCCATTTTAAAAGTTGATAGAAAAGGTTAATAGTTAATAAAAGAAGAAGCTATTCTAATGAACCTTCTTAGAATAAATGATCATATGAAGTCCAGCTAAAGCCTAATGCCTTGTGTCAGAATACTAATCAGTTTCCAATGTTTACTATATAATAATAATAATAATAATAATAATAATAATAATAGTACACATATATACACACACACACACACACAATACAACTAAAACAGTCTACATTTGCACAAAAAAACCTTCAACCCCTTAAGGACACATGACATGTGTGATATGTCATGATTCCCTTTTATTCCAGAAGTTTGGTCCTTAAGGGGTTAAAACAAGGAAAATCTTGAAAAAAAACTATTACAATAGACACGTTTTGATAAACCATTTCAAAAAATGTTTAGTTCTACAAAATAATTTAAGAAAACACCATACATACCTTCATTGAAACGTGGGGTGTTATAGGCTTGGAATGGCTCATGAGTGCTCGGAAATGGATTTATCTTCAGGGTATGCGGGTTCTGTTTGATATAAAGTAAATATATATGTCACATGAATTTATATTGTACATGCTAGTGCAGTCTTGCTCTTTGGAAAAATATTTATACAATTAGAGAAAGGGAAGAACGGATATCTCCTTATCTTGGACATCCAAGGCTAAATGAAAACTTGGTAAGCTTTTATATATTTATTTTTCAAAATATTTCTTTAAAAAAAATAAACATAATAAAATTAAAAAAAGTGCCATGTCATTTTTCTAGGTAAAAACTGTCTACATTATATCCGTGCTGTATATCACGACAGAAACAGTGGAATGGAATGCACTTTGAGATAACAGGAGCATGCATTCAATAGGAGCAGAGAAAACGAAATACATAAAGCAGACTGAGACCACTGACACTACCTCAGCCAGCATCTTCAAAACCATTGAAAAGTCAGGTTACGTTAGTGTATACGGAATGTTGCGTAACCTACTTCTAGACATCTGGAGAGGGATGAGGTCATGCTGGATGCAAAAGGCCTTTCTAATCTCTTTTTAGTTCATCTTTTGCCTTGTTTACACGATGATGAAAACAGAGTTCTGATTAGCCAACATATTTCAGCTTTGAGTAAACACTGTTGATTAATGCAGCATACCCAGCTGTATTTAGCCCATGCTAATTCTACTTTCCGCATTTCATATAACACTGTGCGTACAGCCAGTGATTACAAAGTAAGGGTCAAGGTGCAGACATTCCATGTTCGTGTCACACAAAGTAGGTCCTTCAACATATTTCTTCACTTTTTTTTACCAATCACATATTGGAATATTATTCTTAGGATTTACAATGTAATACACACCTCTCAATGTTCTCTGTACTCAAATGCAGAATCAGAAATGGGATACACATCCCACGATCCTTCTAACAATAATGAAATAATAATGTTGCATTAGCATTGAGGCATATGTAGAGTAAGTACCGTGCTTGCATCCCTGCAACCGGTCAAAAGAGTAATCACTGAGTTCTGGAAAGACGCTAATGTGATAATTTATACACATATTGCACATTAAAACAAGCCTTGTCTAGCATGAAGTAAGTGCAAAAACATGGCCTCTACACTAACCGAATCACGGTCTAAGTATTATTTGCATGGCTATAACAAAACAGACTATACGGACATATTACAAAAATTGTGTCAGTATCCAGAACGAAAACAGTGAGTAGCACATGGTCTTAACAAAACAATCTATACTGACATATCACACTATCACTCGAGTAGGGACGTAATGTGTCAAGCTCAAGGCCACAAGCAGAGAGACTATGCAGACATATTACTCTAGGCAAATTATAGTCAAGATTTCGAAGTGTTCCATTTGGCATAACAAGACAGACCATAAAAACATAACATTCTGGAAAACTTGCTTGGCATAATATGTTCTAAGCACATGGGCCTGCAAACCAGCAAAATACAACCAACAAATCATGGCCCACGATATAATGAAGGACAAGCATGGAAGTGACTGAGATTTAGCACCAGGCAAATGTAGAAATTAGTGTTTTACCTGCTCATATGTTAAAAAAACAAACAATATCAGCTGTTTTAATTAGTTTGATACAGTTCTGCAGAAGTATAAGGGGCTTAACAGATGACAAACGAATATGGAAGAAAGCGAGGTCGCCCAATACTTCAATAGGAACTGTCCCTCATGTGGAAAGTACACCATTAAAGTGACACTTTAAGAACCCAAACCACCAAATCTTATGGTCTGTTCCTTATGTTTAGCCATTTCTGATTAAACTGCATGGTATACATTTTTCCTTTAATATACACCTCTAGGTGCCGTTAGACAACCAGCCACTAGAGGTTCTTCATCCTTGGGACCTTCTATTTTTAAAGGTCTTCACGGTTGCTGTGCAGGACGATGTGAAACGCCGCCAACGTAAAGCATGAGAAGCATCGGAGCAGTGATTCCCAACATGTGCCTTATGGCCACAGTGCTTCTCCTCGAGAAGTATCTGCTTAGAGACAGATCTCACAGGACAGGTGACTGTCCTGGCGCTGGATTACACTTATTTATTTTTTTAAAATATTTTAATGAACTTATTTAATTTTGTTTTAAACAAAAGGGAGATCCTGAATCTAAACACAGTAAGGAACACATCTAACTATAAAAATAAATAATATTTTTAAAGTTAGAGTTTTCCTTTAAACAAAGTATTACACATCACCTTGTGATAAAATTTTTCACATGATGCACTATGCTATGTTTTCTTTCCAGTGCATTCTGTGGCACAACCAGGGTACACAATGTATCAGACTAAGAGAAAAAGAAACATTGTATCTATTTCTCCTCTTCTTCCCATGTAAATTCACGGGTGCTAGGGGCAGAGCATATGCAATGATTGACAGGGAGCCAAGATGGAGGCACTCAGATATAGGACATAAGAAAATGCATACGTGTGAATTTCTACAATTAAATTTCACACCTTACCAACACATTTGTTAAATATAGTGGATAAGAAAACATTATATTAAAAATACTGGTAAGTTAAAGGGACACTATAGTCACCAGAATAACTACACCTTAATGTAATGGTTCTGGTGTCCATAGCCTGTCCCTGCAGGCTTCCTGGGTTAATACAGCAACAACGTTCACGGTCTCAATGCTGAATGCTCCCCATAGAGATGCATTGAGTCAATGTATCACTATGAGGAGATGCTGATTGGCGCAGAGCGCATTTTGCCACGCATGTCAAATAGCCTTCCAATGCTTTCCAACGGGAAAGGATTGTCTGAGGTCGTCAAATTTGATGATTTCAGCCATGGGAGAATGGAACCGGCCGAGGCGAGACCAGTGAGGCAAAAGAAAAGTTTCAACACCTTTCTAAAGGGAAGCAAGGAAGGCCGGAAACAAACGGCGCCTTTAAAACTATAGTGTCAGGAATACAAGTTTGTATCCCTCTAAGGTTCCCCTTCAATCTCTGTAAGTAATACCTGCACATGATGATTTCTCAATCCTGCAGAGTTTGCTCTGCCTTTTCTTTGCTCCAGCAGGGCTCTGCGTTTATTTTCACTGCTGTCTGCAATCTGTTTCCGTCTTGCAAGTGTAATATAACCTTAAAAAGGGATAAAAATAAAGTTTATTGGAAGACATAACACAAATACAATTAATTTGTACTTTAGAAATACTTATTTACTCTTCTGTCAGATCATGATTTCAGTCTCCAATTTAAATTAAGCAGAAATGTTTAACTGCTTTCATGGAAATTTTTTTTTTACTTTGGAACAGTCATTGCGCGATTGAAATGCTGTGAAGGTGCTCAGACATCATCAATAACATTCCATTTAGTGTTTCCCCAAAGGAACAAGCATTCGTACAAAGACTGAAGGAAAATACATTTTATAAAGGCTAGGAATAGTTTATATGCAATTCTGGGAATTTCTTTTAAAGCAGCAGTAAATATATCGGATGCATGTTCTTTAACCCCTTAAGGACCAAACTTCTGGAATAAAAGGGAATCATGACATGTCACACATATCATGTGTCCTTAAGGGGTTAACAATACTGAGCAAGTATGATGCCATCTAATATATATTAATCCTTTAGGTCTATGCAATATTCTCCATTTCATCCCTTACCTTCTCTCCCTTTTAATGTCAGTTTCTGAGCATAACCTCTTCACTCCCAAAAGAAATAATAAACATTTTTACTTTCATTTACTTTTCAAAATGAAATTTAGTCCATACAGTCTCACTCACATTTATATACAACCCAGGAATGATCACCAGCTTGTTGAGAAACTATTTCCTCTGCAAAACACCCATTTCACTAATCCAGTGTCTGCAAATGTGTTGAAAACAACAGCTACCCCCACCCTTCCAAACAGTAAAGAAGGTTTCAATGGGTGATACCATTCCTGGAGGGTGTTCAAGTGAATAAGCCATTAACACTACCTTAACATTAACATTTCAGACATAAGATGATTCAGAAAAAGACATTCAGAAGATTGTAACTGCACTTTTTAACTAACTTTATTTTTAGAAATATATGATTCAACTTTACTTATTATATGTGGGCATAATGTTCAAATGCAGACATTACTCACATTATGTTGCCATTTTCAGTAAGCTGTGCTGCAAGCAATGCCTTACAAAACCTATAAGCAGGCTATATAACCAGTATTATTTGTATAATTGTGTAGTTTTGCTTTTATACTAATATTTAGGACTCTGTGTGGCATATTGCAAGATAAGGGGTGTTTTATACTGTCCAAGGCTTTTCGTTCCCCCAAAATATCTATGATTTGCCAAAAAATGCTTCTTATAGAGAAGCATTGAAACCAATGTTTCTGTCTGAGAAGCACTCATGTATTCTTTGAAATATTAAATCCAAGGGGGATTTATAGAAGTGCTAAAAAAGAAGACATTTAATTAACCCCTAAAGCACTTTAGGAAGCTGAATTGCTTCAGGGAATTGAAGAGTACTTTTAATATTTGGTCTTTTTAAATTGGATTTAACACGTGATTTAAAGGAACACTAAAGCTTTAGTGTCCATGTCCTTTGTTAGATAGATCCCACCCTCCCCGTGTCACACAAAAATAATAAAATTAGGCTTTTTCCTTTTCCAGCGCCAAGCCTCCCTCAGTGCTGCTTATATGTCCTCTCACATAAACGTTATAAAGAAGGCATGGCTTCCTCCAGCGTGGTTTAATCTAATGCTCCTCACAAAGAAACAAGCTTTTCCCACAAAAAAACATTGAATCAATGCTTTCCTATCGGGGCTTCCACATCATATAACCAGGTTTTCCCCTGTCAGTGTCATAGAAGCACTTCCAGTGGCGGTCAGTGTAACAATCACTGGAGGTTTAACCCATTAACCCCTTAAGGACCAAACTTCTGGAATAAAAGGGAATCATGACATGTCACACATGTCATGTGTCCTTAAGGGGTTAAAGTAAACATTACCATTTCTGCAAAATGGCAGTGTTTTACCATGACACTGAAATGTGGCCTGGATGACTTTAAATTGAAAATATTTAGCTCCATCAATCATTGAGTCATTTTGAAATGTCCTTAAAACATGTTCCTCTCCAGTAACCAGTCTATTCTATCCACTGAAACTTTGCTCACATGGATTTTTTCGATTGTGACATCCATGTTTTATTTGATTTTGGATCCGCAGCATTATTCTTACCTTTTTAGATGGCAATAACATTAGTCTCATATTATTCACCACAAATCGTTAAATACTTACCATTGTTGGCAGGTGAGAAGGCCCCATTCATTCTAGAAAATGACTTCCAGTTAGTCAGCAGAGTTCCTCCATCAATAAGAACATGTGACAGGTTAGGCCGCAAAGAGTTCAAGTTAGACGCCAGTTCGCCAGAACGGAAATCCCCTGAAAAGGAAACCCAAAATAAATAACATCACTATCACCATTACTGTAAATGTCTTACCTGAGAAACAGAAATTTATTAAAGGACAGGGAAATACATCTACAGGCACAGAACGGGGAGAGAGACCATGTCTGGTAAAATATTTACAGGACATGTTGAGCATGAGGTCCAGGTTGGTATTATTAGAAGAAGGGTCATGTAGACTATACGGACATTTGCAAAGTTTTATATTATTTATTTTATAAATAGAGTGTCACATTTTACATACATACACCATACATGTACAATTCACATCTCAAGTAAATGCAGATCATATACAGAAGTGGAGGAAGCCAAAAGCAAGTTTACACCAACAAGAGTCTTAGCAAAAGAGTAAATGGTGCCAGGTACAACAGGAGATAGCTGAATTCAACTATAATGTGGGGCATAATTATACTAGAACAATATTTATTCAAGTGCAGCCACATAAACACAACCCACCGCCAACTATGTCACAAAACATCTCATCCTTCAAAGACATCACCTACACCAACGACTGCTGGTAGTGCTGATAAAACCAGAACACAAGTACATCAATGAAACACAGGTCAGTCGCCATCTACTAAATGAAAAATCTATAGTTCCAGTTGAATATTGCAAACACTGCTCTTTTTGGAACGTCACCTTGAGAAAGCTTTGACAAGAGTATAAACATTCAAGTATCTATACAAAAAAATGTGTAAACACATAAAACCAGTCATAAAAAAGCACGTACAAATATTATATATTATATTATAGGCTTTTGTACAGATTATAGTAAATGTAAGTGCTGGTTAATAATGGGCACTTATACACAGAATGTTAGCAATCAGCCCCAAAGGCCCAGGCACATGTGCCAAAACATCACCATCAGGCCATGTGTAGGTGTGATATTCGTGCACAAAAAGCATTTCAGAGGCATTGAAGCAATACTCCACATAGAAAGACGAAATAAAATAAACAAACAGAATAGAACTGAAATGATCTCAAAATAGAAAGGGAATATTTACTAAAGTGAGATTTATGGGGAAATCAAAGCGAATTTCAAACTTGAAGCCAAAATTGCTGAACTGGACACAATATCCAAGTCTGTTATGCTTCCAGCTACCTTGGGATTAACTTTGAAACCCACTGTGAATTCTCATTCTAGTAAATAACCCTGTTAGTGGAGTGCTTTACATGGAAGACAAATGCAAGTATTGATGAGAGACTAAAATGCAGGAAAGGACAAGAAACAAAAGTGAAAGGGGACTTAAACAAGGTAATACGAGGTCTGGGGAGACTAAGCAGTTCTATCTACAGGTTTACACATACAATTCAAGGCGGAGATCTTTTTTAAAAGATCGTGAAAACGGCTTTGGAACGCAAGGGTGTGTTCCGACAAATACCACGTGACGTATGCGCTCCACGGTTGGAACGCAAAAAAGCGGAAGTAAAAATGATGGCCGAAAATAGAAGGGGAAAAACGACTGCCAATTAAGAATCATACATAAAAAGAACTCTTGAACAGGACGAAGCAGCAACTGAGGTGAAATGCATTTTGCACTTTATAAGGACTTTATACAAAGGACTTTGCCTTCAGAATTGTAAGGTTTTCATTTTATTCTTTATAATTTTTAATCATATTGTGCACTTTACTAATAAAGCACTTTCTATTTCAACTGATCTTTAAATACATCTATTCTGCTTGAGTTCATCAATCAGCACAAAGAAGGGAGTGGGTACCTCTATATCCCACAAAGCTGGAAATCTGAGCCAATTTTCATGGCTCTGCATTTGTGAGTGGCATTTCATCCATTTATAGCACGTTACTATTTATATTGGCTATACTGCACTATTATCTGTCTGTTTATATTTTATTCCTAGAACCTATTGGTCCAGGAACCATTCCAGCTTTATAACAAACAAGGAAAATACTCTGCCTTAAATTGTATGTATATTGCTATTTGCTGTGAGGTTTTAAGGGAAAACTCACTAAGGTGTTAGAGTACTTATTACTATTGGTATTACTTACTGGGATACTGGGATATATTATCTATCTACAGGTTTACCTTTCATATTAACAGATTTAAACCATTCAGATACTTTAGAAGCATGTGTATACTACCTGGTACAGCAAGGAATGAGGAACCATACAGACCGTATTAGTTCCATCAATCATTTGAGATTGTGGTCCTATGGTCAGGAGGTAGGGCGACTCCTAATTCAAAACCATGTATGCATACGAATATATGTACAATAGCTTGCAAATACAAGAGCATACAAAAGCACAAGAATTGTATATATATATATATATATATATATATATACACACACTCACCTCTCCGGGTGGTATTTTTTGGTGTATTCCGCATTCTTGGGTCCTCTACTATATGCATACATTTATATATGTAATTAACTATTCCTTATTTAAAAAATCACTTAAACGCTAAGCATATTATAAGAAATTTTATCATTCATTAGTCTGCACAATCCATATTCTAAAAATGGGTGTCAGCTCAATACAATTTGTGAATAAATGTCACTGTTAAGTCAGTGAAAAAACGATTTCAATTACCTTTACAATGACAAAGAAGATATGTAAAAAAAATAGATGTACATGTGTTAAGATATATCCCATGGGAAAATGTGACAATACACATATTGTAAGTACATTTTTCCTTGACATAGACCTTTGGGTTGTATAAGCCTGCACGTACCTGCATTTTTGTGATTTAAGGCACTTCGGACTCCTTGCCATAGAAGAGCAATTTCTTCATCGGTTGGTGTATGGTCCAAGCGCAGTCCATTTTCACCATAAATTGGATATCTTTTGGTGGGGCCTGATGAAGGTTCTTGCACAGCCAAAGGCCGGTCATTATTTAAAGCCAGCACTGATTTTATCGCTGGTTCTGATGAATTGCAGTTTTGGTTTGTCATCAAATTGCTGGAGGCACGTACTAAGCTTTGATTTGAGCCTGTGTCCTTGGCAGTTATATGACTGCTATTGCTAGAGTTATTAAACTGGTAATTATTATTATTTACGTATTGCATCTTGGCATCTGTTGCATTTTGACCACTGTTGTTTTCTAATGCTGGTCTCGGTGGAGGATGTGGCATCATAACTTTTCCCTGAGACTTTAAAATCTTACTTGCCTCTGTGGCCGATTGTGGTCGTATAATGGTGCCCTTTCTATTTCTGTGTGTAACAGTGTATTGATTTTTAGCAGATTTTGGTCTCTTTACTAATTTAGTCTTTGCCTTAGGTAAATTTCTACTGTTATGCTCTGAAGAGTTACTCTCTACTCCTTTTGAGGTTACCCAAGCTTGTTTAGTGAAATGGTAACCCGTAGAAAACACAGAACTCTGTGGCACACTTAAAGGTTCTGTTCTTTCAGGTAATAAATTAGTATTTGAGAAGGCACATCCTTGATGACTTGTACTAGAAAGATTCTCAGACATAGCTTTTTCTACACCAGATACACGTTTGTTAACAACCACAGCATCTTTTCCATCCATCATTTTATCAATTTCGTCTAACCATCTAAGTTTTTTACAGATTATTTTTTTATTTTCTTTTTCTTTGGTTAGTTCAACACTGTCTCTGACACCGAGGTTACTCTTATCCCCAAGATGCAACACTTTGCTAAAACCCATACCTCTTATGTACCCATTTTCATATTTAGAGCCCTTTTTTAAAATACTCTTCAGTAATCTGTTTCCATCCTTCCCAGAAGCATTATTTCTAGTCTTTCTATACTGTCCAATGAATCCAGGCTCAGGATCAGTGGGAGTAACTGAGGTACTTGAAGAAGAAGGACTTTGATCATGTAGTACACCAAAATCTTTATTGACAGAGGACATAAAAGATGGATCTTCATGCACCAGTAGCTCCTGATTTTTACTGTCTAGGTACTCCGTCCGCTTATTATTCATGGAAATAAAATCTGCATTGTTCGTAGCAGTCAAATTATTTGTTCTAGCATCTGAAAGCACAACGTTGATATCCTTTTTTACATAGGTGCCTACTCCATCATGACATTTAGAAGCAGAACGTTCCCATTCCACAAGTGGAACGACTACTGGTGTTGCCAAGGGCTGAGTCACTGTAGGTTTAAATGATACTCCTTGGTGTTTTATTGTTTCTTTGTTTTCATGTGGTACAGAGCCTTGACTGGCATCTCCTGAGGCTGGGTCAGGAGTGGCCCAAGCTTTGCTAGGTACAACCACAAAATGAGAAGTTCTTTTCTCTCCACTGCCCAAATCATAATTTCTTATTTTGTGATCAAAAATAAACTTTTGGGCATTTTCTTGATTTTGGGTGACCAGAGCATTTTCAGTATGTGTAATTTCATTCTGGATAAAATTGTTTGTTCCTTGTTGCTCAGTTGTACGAGCAAGCATAATTGCTTGGTCTCTGCTATGTAAATACTTGGCAGTAGGCATCTGATCAAACAACAAATTTTTATCATTCAAATAACTAGTATTTTCATTAACAGTGCAATGTTTTGTTTCTGGATCAGAATTATTTATACTGTAAGGAGAGATTTCTTTGTATCCATTTTCACAAATGAAATCTTCTAGTACATTCCTTTGGTCTTTTTCATCAAGTTCTTCTTCGAGACTGTCTAAACTGTCCAAGCTCTTAGAACGTGCAAGTTGGTTTACTTCCTGGTGGAAATTCTGAAATACAAAAATGAAATATTTTTATTCATTTTAGAACATTTATATACAATTACTTTTTTTATTTTTTATTTTATAGTGCATTAATTTTACAAAACAAGATATACAAAAACACACACACATGTAACAAAATGGAACAATGCACAGGAGAAAAGTAACCATCTTGTAGTAAGACATGGCAAAACTGTCCTCATGGGATAAGCGTTGGGACACACACAAACACAGATATATATTTTGACTGGTTAACACAGTGGTAATAACATATACTGTACAGCCCCATTCCATGTTTAACATTACCAGTAGCCTTAATCTTGAACTCAGTCTGCAGAATGTCCCCATGACTTTTCTATCCTCCCTGCACAGAGTGCTGTCCGCCAGGATATGACGTCCTTAGCTCTTCACATCACATGGGAAGGTGTATCTTGCACCTGTCCATGCCCAGTGTTCTGTCAGACTCTGTTTACCATCAGAATGTGATTACTCCCACAGCTTAGCAATCATCGGAACTCTTCCTGTCTCAGGATCCCTGTGTCTCGAAAGGCTGCAAGGTAAATAACCACTTGTTCTGAAGTTATGCTTTTTTTGGGAGGGGGATTGTTGCTTGATTTACCTTGGATGGTTAGGGGGGATATGTTCATTTTTCTCTCCCTGTTCCCTATTTAAATTTTTTCGCAGTACAAGATCTCTACCTTTGGATCCCATTTCATGATGATTGGGGACTAATTTAGTGATAAGTATCTACAGGTGATACTCGAAAAGTTAGAATATCATGCAAAAGTTCATTTATTTATGAGACCGAACAATGCAGAAGAGCTGAAGGCCGATATTGAAGCATCTTGGTCTTCCATAACACCTCAGCAGTGCCACAGGCTGATAGCTTCCATGCCACGCCACATTGAGGCAGTAATTTCTGCAAAAGGGGTACAAACCAAGTACTGAGTCCATATGCATGCTTATACTTTTCAGAGGTCCGATATTGTTCTATGTACACTCCTTGTTTTACTGATTGCATGTAATATTCTAATTTACTGAGATTGTGGGTTTTCATGAGCTGTAAGCCATAATCATCGCACTTATGACAAATCACGGCTTGCGTTGCATGTAATGCGTCCATCTCATATATTAGTTTCCCCTTTTACGTTGCATTACTGAAATAAATGAACTTTTGCACGATATTCTAATTTTTCGAGTATCACCTGTATATCCCACTTTGGGGGGGGGGGGATGCTGGTATAGTATAGCTAGTTGATTGTGCAGCTATCAGCATCCTGACAAGTCTCCGTTTATATCTTGAAGAGTTAGCACTAACAGAATTCTATACACTGAGTACTTAGAGATCCAGCTATGGAACCCATTAGCAACTTCAACCCGCCCCCCCCAGATGACTTCTCTGCCTGTTACAGATTGATACGTATATGGTATTCTGTGAGTTATAAGTGGACATATAGACATATATACCTAGTGACGAATAGACAGTTTTGACTATAGGAATTCTATAACTATATCTAGGTTTCTAATAAAAGTTTAATTCTCCTTGATAAATTAAGCTTCTTTTTTACCATTAGTACTATCCTATCATTACCTTCATTCAGCAGCTTATCTAAATCACCACTGCTGGGACTTCATATTAGTGGTCTTAATCAGTCCTGCTGAACTGTTATCTTTAGGCAGATTAGATAGTGTTTCTATACTATTTAGTACCATCTTGCTATAATCTCCATTTAGCAATTTATGTTTATTACTGATTGACTCCACTGTGAGGACTCCATACTTACCAATCTTCCTGTGTAGTCTCAATCCGTCCTGCTTTATTGTTTACATTGCTGTATTAATCCATAATACTAGTAGGCATTTTTAACAGTGTATGGATTTCTAATACCTTTCATATGTTCACTGTTTGTACACAAGCATATTCACCACATGTTAAGATTTGTTATAATTAAAAAAAATTTTTATTTTTTATTTTATTGATCTAGTACTATGGTAGCAACTAGTCTACAGGGAGTGCAGAATTATTAGGCAAATGAGTATTTTGACCACATCATCCTCTTTATGCATGTTGTCTTACTCCAAGCTGTATAGGCTCGAAAGCCTACTACCAATTAAGCATATTAGGTGATGTGCATCTCTGTAATGAGAAGGGGTGTGGTCTAATGACATCAACACCCTATATCAGGTGTGCATAATTATTAGGCAACTTCCTTTCCTTTGGCAAAATGGGTCAAAAGAAGGACTTGACAGGCTCAGAAAAGTCAAAAATAGTGAGATATCTTGCAGAGGGATGCAGCACTCTTAAAATTGCAAAGCTTCTGAAGCGTGATCATCGAACAATCAAGCGTTTCATTCAAAATAGTCAACAGGGTCGCAAGAAGCGTGTGGAAAAACCAAGGCGCAAAATAACTGCCCATGAACTGAGAAAAGTCAAGCGTGCAGCTGCCACGATGCCACTTGCCACCAGTTTAGCAATATTTCAGAGCTGCAACATCACTGGAGTGCCCAAAAGCACAAGGTGTGCAATACTCAGAGACATGGCCAAGGTAAGAAAGGCTGAAAGACGACCACCACTGAACAAGACACACAAGCTGAAACGTCAAGACTGGGCCAAGAAATATCTCAAGACTGATTTTTCTAAGGTTTTATGGACTGATGAAATGAGAGTGAGTCTTGATGGGCCAGATGGATGGGCCCGTGGCTGGATTGGTAAAGGGCAGAGAGCTCCAGTCCGACTCAGACGCCAGCAAGGTGGAGGTGGAGTACTGGTTTGGGCTGGTATCATCAAAGATGAGCTTGTGGGGCCTTTTCGGGTTGAGGATGGAGTCAAGCTCAACTCCCAGTCCTACTGCCAGTTCCTGGAAGACACCTTCTTCAAGCAGTGGTACAGGAAGAAGTCTGCATCCTTCAAGAAAAACATGATTTTCATGCAGGACAATGCTCCATCACACGCGTCCAAGTACTCCACAGCGTGGCTGGCAAGAAAGGGTATAAAAGAAGAAAATCTAATGACATGGCCTCCTTGTTCACCTGATCTGAACCCCATTGAGAACCTGTGGTCCATCATCAAATGTGAGATTTACAAGGAGGGAAAACAGTACACCTCTCTGAACAGTGTCTGGGAGGCTGTGGTTGCTGCTGCACGCAATGTTGATGGTGAACAGATCAAAACACTGACAGAATCCATGGATGGCAGGCTTTTGAGTGTCCTTGCAAAGAAAGGTGGCTATATTGGTCACTGATTTGTTTTGTTTTGTTTTTGAATGTCAGAAATGTATATTTGTGAATGTTGAGATGTTATATTGGTTTCACTGGTAATAATAAATAATTGAAATGGGTATATATTTGTTTTTTGTTAAGTTGCCTAATAATTATGCACAGTAATAGTCACCTGCACACACAGATATCCCCCTAACATAGCTAAAACTAAAAACAAACTAAAAACTACTTCCAAAAATATTCAGCTTTGATATTAATGAGTTTTTTGGGTTCATTGAGAACATGGTTGTTGTTCAATAATAAAATTAATCCTCAAAAATACAACTTGCCTAATAATTCTGCACTCCCTGTAGTATCTCTGAGATTTGACAGTCAGTCATAATTTCTGATTTCTATTTCAGACTGTGTAGGTACACTATTTTTCTTTTTTGATAATCCCCCCTTATAATGCTGAAAATAGAAAATGACGCACCCGGAATCCAGCGCAGGACAAAGCTCCCCCTGCTGCCCAGTTGCCGTCCAATCAAGAGAAGCCTTTAATTGGACCATTGTACTGGCTCTGAGCCGGTGAGGAAGTCAGTGGAGTTACACACAGAGAGGGAGGGGATGGGGAAATAAAAAAAAAACAACAAAAATTGCTTTTTAAGATTAAAGGGGATGCAGTGTACAAAGATGAGCTTAGAAGTATTTTTTTGCACAGAACTGACATTAGGCAGCCAGGAACAGGCCTAAGTCACATGTGCAGTGGGTGCAACTAGCCGCTGTCACAAAAGTGCAACTATCAGCAAAAACACAGCACATACATATTTCTACTACCATGACTACTTCTAAAAGCAGTTCAAAGTAGCCAAACTGGAACAAAGTCAGCTATGCTTTAAGTCCAGCTACTCTGGCTTTGAATTTGAAATTCACTTTGATGGGACTTTGAATATGCAGTTTAGTAAACAACTCTGTAAGTGTTAAAGAGATGCTCTAAGCACCAGAACCTCTGCAGCTTAGTGTAGTGGCTCTGAGGCAAAGAGACTGTCCCTGCAATTTTAGTAGTGTAAATACTGTATTTTCTAAAATAAAAAATGCAGTGTTTACATTGCTGCCTAGAAGGGCTTTCTGATTGTGGACTTGCAAAGATTGAGTTAATGCTTCCCATAAGGAGATGCATGAACTCTTGTCGCCCATTGTATCCCAATAGGAAAGCACTAGATTTGCAGAGATCATCAGTAATGGTAATCTCAGCCAGAGCAGGTGTGGCTAGGCTGAGAAGTGTCTCAGAACGGTCAATGGAGTTGTCATTAAGCTCGTTGTCATAGCTGGCTCCTCAATGATTGGGTTGTTAATTAGCAAATGTCAGCTGAGCCTTTCCTTTTGGCTAGTATGCGCTAATGTTTTCTACATCTAGTAGATGTTCGGTGGCAAAGGAAGAAGCAAACAAAACAAAGAATAGATGTGTTACATTTATACAACAGGTGATGAAAAAGCCCAGAAACACAGTTCAACCACTGGTACAGACTTTTAATGTATGTATATTAACTGTGACCTAAAACAGATTAGTATAACCAACTCAAAAGTCAAACATTTACATATTTAAGGGTGGTTTATTATAGTGTGAATTGTCACAAGCTTAAAAATTAAATGTGCATTTCAAGTAGTAGGTTATATTAGCCACACTGGAAAAACATCCTCCATTGAGCTATACTTTCAGTTTAGATATTCTGGCCTAAAATGTGAACTTCATGTTAAATTCCAAACAATTCACACTTTAGTGAATCATCTTAGGAGTTAAGTGACAGAGAAAAAGAATATGAATCTGGGTGTCTTTCTTAGTTGTTGTGTAAACACGTGAGATAAAGTATTCTGTGTCTCGATAGAGGTAATACATTTTTCCAGATATTTATACTTCTTATCATTTTATGTTAGTTTTGCATGATTAAGGCCGGGTAAGCTGAAACAATGTCTTGTTGTGTCCTGTAAGCACCAATAATCTTGACTGCTGAGCACCTACTCTCTGAAGCCTGTGGATTGTACTTTGGTAATACATTTTTGTTTACATGTATCGCTATATCCATGATTGATTTATTTATAATATCAGCACCATTTACTGGTTGATCTGATGTTTTTAGAGAAGTAAAAGCAATCTTTTTAAAAGTCAATCTGTAATGGCAAGCTCAAGTTAACATACAAGAGCTACCAAAGCAACAAATGCATAATTTATCTTAAATTAAAAAGGAGAACATCAGAAGACAGTGGGTTCCAAAGCTTTATGGAATATTCCCGAAAATCTCATAGAAATCCATCCTAGACTGCTCAGTTGTAATATAAAGTAATATGTTTCTTTGTTACCTGCAGATTGCTGAGGTGGTGCTCTTCTAAGAGCCGCTGTGCTTCCTCAAGCTTGTGCTGGAAGTAAAGTCGATTGCTATCAAATTGGTTCGTATTCGGAATTTTTTGTTCATGAACTAGTCTTTCAAACCCCAGTGTGGAGTCTGGACGTTGATTTTTATGCCAGGTCCCGTTTCCTGCTGAAAACAAACTTGAAGGTGTACCTCTAGATCTAGAAAGAAAGACAAAAACAAAGACATAAAATAGATATCTATTTTTTGCCAACTAACAAAATTTCACAGACGAACTTAACTTAACAGGATATCTTACTTACTATCTCAAGCCCAGCAGAATACAATATCAACAAGTGATATTCAACTTATAACTTAACTTGTGCTTCTATAAAAATAATTGGAAAAAAACATATAGTATAAGTATTACCTTGTATTGCTGGAGTTTCTGTTTGGAAATAAATAGTAATTTGTGGATGAAACGGATCCCTGAATTTGTTCAAGAGCATCCTCTAAGTTCGGTGTTGGTTTTCGACTAACAACATAAGCTGGAAAAAAAACACATTTATAAAATGATGAAACATGAATCCAAAGTTAAAGGACAGTTTTTGAATGTAACTGCAAGCATGCTTCAGTTCCGTTACTCTGTAAATAGTAGACTTGTGCATTTCTTAAAATAAAAATTCCAGGACAGCAGCATTTTGACCATATGGCACTTATGACTTGTTTGAAGTTCATTAACCAAAATATAAAAAAATAAGTACCGTTTTGGAACATGACTCAGATGAACCAAAAGAGATAAAAAATGGGCCAATCCACCGACTCCCTACCCTTGATACATTCCACTTATGGTCCTACCACTAGGTGGCGGTAGAAGGGACATTTGATGTTGCGGGAGGGTTGCAGGTAGAGATATTTGTCCTGACGGACAAACACGCCACTTTCAACATTACTTATCTGTACATAGATTTCACCTAGAAAGGCTGTTCCAACATGACACAGACACCTCTCCATAAAAGTGACCCTTCCACACTAAAGGAGCACTAGCTGCATGCAACTGCCAAACAACATGCCTCTGTGAGACAGTATAATCTGATCGTTGACAATGTTGTGATTTACCCTGATAAAGCTTAATGTACGTCTGATGCTACCAGAAAGTGTCATGTATGCTGTTGGAACCTACACTCTGTACAACTTATATACGTATTTTCTTACTAATGTATCTATGATAAAAAAAAAAAAAAATATATTATAAAGCTTGTCCAAAAAATGGCAAATCAATATACTGCAAAATCTATACATTATATCAATATTATTTATGTACTTTGCAGAACACGGACAGACACATTTTCCTGCCATTTGGGTCACAAATCACATGAAAAAAAAAAAATAATAGAAAAGGAAAAAAAGGGGAAAAAAGGGGGAGCAGTAAAGATCCAAAGATCTTTCCCATGCTGTGTAAAATGACACAGAGCATTTCAAGCCAACCAATAGAGTGCTGTGACAGGTAGATGTAGAGACTTAAAAACAAAATTACCTGTCAGTCTCTTCATTTACCTGTCAGAGCACACTGATTGGTTGGCTTTAACCAACCAGAGCGCTCTGGGCCTAACTGCTTATAAAGCCTTCCCCTGCCCTAAGGAGCTCATTCTGCGTGCCCTCCATGGGTGAAGGAGGATTATTGTTTTACCGTTGGGAGTTTTCTTTTTTTCCTACATTTTTTTTTTTTGCTCTGTTTTTTTTTTATTTTAACAGTATTGATTTTTAATTGGCCTTTTTTGGGGCTGAAGAAAGAAAAGAAGAACGAAGACATCTTATGGTAAATATGAAATTTTATTTTATAGGGTTAGTTTATTGCCTCCCCTCACTATTATTAGGGTGATAGGGGTAGGTAGGGTATTTTTATTGGGGGGGGTGGGAGGGAAGTTAATAGGGTCCCCACCCACCGGGTGAAGACCTGGCAGAGGGACATTAGGTCCCCCCCCCATTATTTATTTAGGGTCCCCACCCGCCGCTCATTGGTGTGGACCAGGGGGATATAATTGATTAGGGTCCCCATCCACTGCTCATGGGTGAGGACCAGGAAGACATTAGGTCCCCCTGTTTATATTACTAACCCCCACCCGTGGGTCACATGGGTGCGGGGAGGCTCTTTTTAAGTTCTCTGTCTTTTTGAGAATTTGTAGCAAAGATTGTGCTGCATAATGGAAGTTTAATTTTTCCCTTGATGTACTAAGATACAAAAAAATATATATAGTTTTTCCTTCACTTTTTAATATATATATATATATATATATATATATATATATATATATATATACACACACACATATACACACACACATACATACATATATATATATATATATTATACACACACACACACACACACACATATATATTCTCCGCTCTTTTTTGGTACAAGAGTGCCACTCAGAGGAAAATCTGGTTATTACAATTTAGGAAGCTTTTTTCCCCACCCATCTTTTCCCTACATCCACTGTCAATGTTAAATACAACAAAGCTTGTTTGGTTCCATTAGAAACATTACTGTTTTTTTACTGATAGATGATATATTTGACCAGGGCTGCCATCAGGGCATGACAACCATGACGATTGTCATGGGCCTGGCAGGCTTGGGGGCCTGGACTGCTCTTGGATTTCCGGGCCCCATATTGCCTACACACACACGCACATATATAGTGATTAGTGATATATGTGTGTGTGTACCTGGACTCTGCAGAGGGGGCCCGCAGCACTTCTTTGACTTCACTGCCCAGCAGTCCTGTCTAACTCTCGCAAGCTCTGCGGCCGTCAGAGTGTTGCCACGTTTACCATGGCAATGCTCCGCATGGCACACAAGCCGTGAGAGTTAGAGACAGGAGCTGCTGGGCAGTGAAGTCAGAGAGTGCTGCAGGCCCCCTCTGCAGAGTACAGCAGCTGATTTTGAGCACCATTCTACCAGACCACCAGGGAATGTGATCTCCCCCCTCCCAGACCAAGTAACAAGCAGGAAGGGGGGACCCCTCCCAGACAGGTAACAAGCAGGGAGGGGGGAATAAAATGTTAAAAAAATAAAATATTTAAAAGAAATGTTACAAAATGTAAATGCTCCCCACCCTCATTTTACAAACACTGCATTGACTATATACACACTACAAAAACACACACTCAGCATTCATTATATACACACTACATCCACTACACAAACCCACAATCTGCATTCACTCAGTGGTGTATTCTGGATTTGTGCTGCCCTAGGCACAACTAAATTCGGGCAACCCCCTAATCTGAATTTGCCCCACCACTTTGTATCAAAGCCACTTTTGTGACTGACAGACGCACGCCCTCACTGACACATGCACTGACATACACTCAATCATTGGCACACACACTGTTTAAACAACACACATGACACACTTACTCATTGACAGACACACACTCTTAGATACACATACACTGACATACAATCACTGACACAAACATCCTCACTGATTTGACACACTGACAGACACACACATTCACTCACTAACTCATAGACAGACACTGACAGACACACACACACACACACACACACTGACAAACACACACTTTCTTATACACTCAATTTATTTATTTTTGTTATTATTATTTAAATCCACAGAGTCATATTTCGGCTCCCGGCATAGAAGGGCGAGCGAGGGAGCAGGAAGAGCTCAGAGGACTGCGCTTCCTGGCCGCCCGCCTACACGCCGAGTATCTGAATGCACTGGGGGGCCCTAACGTGGACACTGCATTTGCCTGGGCACTTAGGGTGGCGTTTTTTGCTGCCCCCCTGAAAGTGCCTCTCTAGGCAAATACCTTGTTTGCCTCGCAGTAAATAAAGTCCTGCATCCACAACACACACTCTGCATTCACTATACACACACTACATCCACTACACAAACACCTTTTCAACTACAGCAATAATTCATAGCATGGTTAACTCAGCCTTTGATTATTCCAAGGCTAAAAAAAGGAACCCACCATTTAGAGTAGCGAGTTACAACCTTTTTTCACTTTTCTACTCCTTGGCAGCAAATTTCCAAAAATTGTGCCTCTCATAGACAAAATATTTGTAACTAATATAGTTGCTGTTATTTCAAATGTATATGCTTTTCTCTGCCCTAAGCTCCCCTGCCCCAGGCTCCCCCTGCTTAAAAAGCTATAAGAGTTACTACAACATATATTGCAGATACACACATGCAGTTGCACAGACATACTGACACACACACTAACCCACATACAGATACAAACACATTGATACACACACCGACACAGATGTATATACAGATGTACAGACACACAAATACAAACACTGACACACATATGCCACACACAGATACACAGACATACATATACACACACTGACACACATATACCACACACATACTAACACTACATACATACAGATAAACAAAAACACACTGTTAAAGCGCCACAGCACACGACTGGGCTCCTGAAGACACATGTTCACCGGTTAGTCCAAAGTGAACGGGCCACCTGATGAACCCTCATTTTGCAGTTCCCAACATTAGTGGTGTACATGCGCCGGCGGTAGAGCTGCCATTACTGAATTTTTGTTTTTGTGTACCTCTGGGGGTATGTGAACCACATGTTGGGAACCACTGATTTAGATGATAAATACATTTAGATCCCAAAATGTACTTGGAAACAAGTGGAAGCCAGATGTACTCTTCTTGATTAAATAACTGAAGAATATTATTAAAAGTTTAGTTCCAAATGTAAACTGACCGGTTCTTCTACGCTGTGATGGGGGAAGATGAGCTCGCTGAAACTTTTCTGTTGCCTCCTGTAATTTTAACTTTCTTTGCTGCAGAACCTCTTCTCTAAATTTCTGTTCCTTTTCTTCCTCCTCTTTTCTTTTTTCTTCTAAAGCTCTGTCATGAGAAAGAAGACACAAACTTTTATAACTGGTATAGACAGCAAAATATGCAACACCAAAGAACACAATACATTGATTTCATGGCTTTGATAAGTTTACAATTTAAATACAGAACAGAAAACATTAGACCTAACATGGTTGGGTGTCACTGTGTTACAAGTGGGTGTCTCTCCTCCCAATGTAACTACAAGTCAAAACTGGTTGCCAACTATTCCAAAATCTTAAATAACATGTAATTTAATGGGGTAAAACAATGTTTCTGCTAATTTAAATTCCAAAGGAAATGTGTAGACATTGATATGGAAGTTAATGCCATATTGGAGAACAAATCTGGTTAAAGGTAGTAAAGAATATTTTTAAAATAAATACCACATAAAGTGATTATTGTGAATGTAAGGAGGAGTGTATGAACTCTTAATCTGAAGTATAAAAGTCACAAAATTAAAATACAATATACACATAACAGTTACATACAGAGGACAATAACACACACACTGCCAGACATAATCTCACTGATTTGAGACACACTTCCAGACACACAGTTACTGACAGACATACATATTAATTTTACACACAGACACTGACAGACACACGCACATTTACATCCAGAAGACACATACATATTTACATGCAGAGAAAACGGACACACACACATTCACTGACAGACAAACTCGCTGATTTGACATACACTGACTCATACATTCACCTGACACATTCACACACATTATTATTATTTGAGATGTTGTGTATTCTTTTCCTGGGGTCCAGTGTGGATTCTTTTCCCAAGGTCCTGTATGGGGCACGTGTATCGTTCGTGTCCTCCAGATCCCCACAACTTTTCATTCATTTCCCTAAGTTTACTTTGCTCAGTGCAAGCTTGTGTAATGATTGGTGACTTGCCTCTAGTGTCAACAGGAGGGAGACACCAGATAGCAGGTCGGTCTCCTGAATCTGGGACTATTGGAAGCTATGATAAAGTAACCACTCTGTTTGTTGAATAGAAACATTGGTTACTCTCTAGTCTAGTCATTGAAGCATTAGAGAGACTTGGAAGGCCACAGGATACAGCTCCAAGCATTTGTTGTGCAGAAGAACACATATAATAAAGTTTTATTGAGTAGTCATGAAAATGTAAAGAGGGGCTTAATGGATTCTTTTAAAAAATAAAACAAAACACACATCCCTTATTTAAGCAGTTTATTGTTACAAAATACTTAATCTTACAAACTTCACGTTAAAATAGCCAAGCCATGACTATAGCAGAGTTGAAGAGTTTTACCAAATCTGTTATTTTAGCCTGAAATTGCAGTTTGGCATATAATTAAAGACCAGATGATGTTTTACACTTTCACCACTAGATGGCAATCCTGCAGTCCATAGATGGCACCTTTGCAGTGCGTTTCGCAAAAGAAGGGAACTCACATTTGAATGGCCAGAAGGTCTCCGTATGCATTCATCTTTTATTTAGACAGTGCTAATCTGTATTCTTGGCACTTTACATGAAAGTATAGGTGAGGCACAGTCAATACATTAACAAGGACATTGTAAAAAATTGGTGTAAGTCACAATTACCATACACAAAATAAATACATGTGCATAAACATACATTTGAAGGTTTGCTTGCAATCTGGGTACACAGATATCAATCATATTTTCCTTTGTCATTATATATAAATTTGCATGTGCGAATGTATACTAAGGTCTATGGAGGATCCCGCAAGATTGAAAAATCTGGACAGCAGTAGCTCTGCCTTGTTGTCAAGCATAGGAAAAATACATAAGATGTCTTATTCTACCTTCTGACTAAGTTGGAATGGGTTATTCACAAAAATGAGACAAAGTGAATACTACATTTAGGTTCAATAAAGCCAAGCTGGAAATTTATTTTTTATTTTTTACACAGCTGTGCTTTCATTTTGGCTACTTTGCCTTAAAGGGACACTATAGTCTACATATAAAATTTTACATAATAAAAAAACTTACCTTTTATATAATAAAAACTTACCTCTGTTCCAGCGCCGAGCTCCCAGCCACTCCGCGCCCCCTTTTTCGTCAAAATGACGAAATCGCAGGTCTCAACCAGACACTTCTCTCAGAGAAGCGTCATTGTAATCTGGTGCGCATGCACGGCTTCGCGCTGCACCAATCGCGTTTTTCATAGAGCGGGACTGGATGCCGCCCTATGACTGAACTCAGCGCCTCTATCGCGTGGAATGCGCGTTCGTGAGCTGAGCTGTCTGACGAACAGCTCAGTTCGCTTTCTATAACCGCCCCCCTCCTCAGCCAAACTGTGTGTTTGCATAGAAACACTATATATAGAGAACGCTCTATATAAAATGTTTCTATGCAAACACACAAGTAGTAAAAAATTAAAGACATACACACACACTCTCTGTCCATCCATCCCAATCCATCCATCCAATCCCATCATCCATTTCCATCCACTCCCATCATCCATATCCATCCACTCCCATCATCCATCCTCACCCACACTCACTAAATAAGTTTACTTACAGTTTGAATCTTCCCCTCCTCCTCTTCGGTCTTCAGCCTGTCAAACCTGTCAGCTCAAGCCACTCCCACGCAGTGCTGACAGCCTCAGCACACAAAGCGCGTTCACAGTGCTCTGTGTGCTGATAGCACGTCTGAAGTATTCACACATGCGTGAATACGTCAGTTGTGAATGAAGCCTTTTGAACTCGGAAGTCCCTCTGGTGGCTGTCTGATTGACTGCAACTAGAGGTGTTCCAAGCTTCCAATGTAAACACTGTATTTTCTATGAAAATACAGTGCTTACAAGAAAAAGGCTGCAGACAGCTGTAGCACTCACCTGAACAACCTAATTAAGCTGAAGTTCTTCAGGTGACTATAGTGTCCCTTTAAATCTGAAGTTCACAGCAAATGCCAATTTGCTCTCTGACAATGCATATGATGTAATTTTGCTTTATAAGGGACATGCCGTCCCCTCAGAATAAACATTCCTCAAGTTTTTCATTAACCCGAAACCTGTGTCTGGTGTCAATTACTTTAGGAGAGTGCACGCATTATTTCTTTAATTTGGCCGGGGGCAGATACGCAAGATAATCAATTTATTAATTGATTCCACATCATTGAATAACCCTGACACTCTGTATGGTATAGATTTATTTATTCATGAAATGCTATTTCTTTGTCTTTTTTGGGTGGGAGGACATAGTCGCTTTAAGGAATCAAAATAAGTGCACCGGTTTCTAGAAGTACCCAGAATTTCTTTGTTACAAAGTATATCGAGATATATCTAGAACCGCAAATAACTTACAATAATTCTAGTGAGTGTTGTGGTCCTCCAGTGGGTGCAGACCACCGTAAACACTCCTTCTCAGTTCTCAAATTGACTCACACATCCTTCTGCTATCCCAATGGCTATTTTAATCTTAATAAAAAAAGGTTGATATTATAAAATGTTTTTATGATGAGACGTTAATGTATTTCCTTTAAGAAAAGCAAAGGGACTATGTGTTACCCTTGTTGTTGTTATTGACCTTAAATGGCACACAAAGAATTACGACAGAGAACAGGACCAGAGGAAAACTCCAGTACACGAGGTAGCACAGAAGCTAACAAATGCCACAAATGTACAAACCTCTGGTAACATACTAAGCGATTGTAATTCATGTAACCATATAGGCACACTGTAATATGCAATGAAATCACCTAACTCGTCCTCTTTGTTCTGTAACCTCACCCGTATAAATGAAACTGGAAAAAGATACAAATAAAGAATTAAAAAAAAATAAATAAAAAAAAAAGCAAAGGGAATCCTTAATAGGTGACATATCACTAAATACCAAAACGATAATCAGGCTTTTCAAAATTGTGACTTGGATGTCAACAGAATTATAGCCTTAGTTCAGGGACGAGTCGTTTAAACACATCAATCACCTTACAAAACACACTGCACCAATCATTGTTATGGTATACAAATAATCTGTAACCTAGGAGGGAAGAGTTTTTGAAATGAATACATCGGAGCAAATCTTGTAGGTGTGCCTCACTGGTTTCTGGCTACGTGTCAGACATAAAGAAACACTGATTTAGAGCAGGGACTTAAAGTACGTTCATCACTCAATAATTTTACCTTAATTCATAGAAATCTTAAAATACATTAATAAATATGTTGTATATAAATATATATCATGAGTCAAAAGGTTTAGAATAATACAGTTAAGCCTACATGTCTTAAAATGTGATGACAACAAATGCACGTTATGCTATATTTATATTAATATAATATTAAACGTATATCTAAATACTATAAGAATGATCATATCATGTTTACACTTAAAGGCTTTGTCATTAAAGGGATAATTCAAAGTTTAAGCCAGTGTCGCTAAACTGAATATATGGTAGACTTACAGAATGTTTCCAGATTTGCTATAATGACCTTAAATTTGAAATTCACTCTGAATTCACACTGAATTCTCAACTTTAGTGAATAATACTGATATTCTTCAGAAAGGGTTCAATGGGCACAAATCCACCTTGAATGACTTACAGGGAAGGAAACACCCAATACAAAAACAGTTCATGGTTGTAAAAGAAAGTCAAATTCTGACTTTTGTACACTGCAGCAGTATGTCCTTGTTTGTTGCAGAATATTGGAAGCAACAGTCCAGCAATAACGCCTTTATAACTCTAGAATGCCAGTTGGTTCACTTGTTTACGACAAGCGGCAAGAGCATCACAGAAATCCATTTTCAGAGACACAATTAGACAGTCAGGTACTGGCAGATGTACGCTTAAACTCGTTTAGAGGTTTGGAAAGTAAGGGGCATACATACTTTCTTTTATATTTAAAATGCTCCAGGTGAAGGGGAGCGGGGGATAAAAAAAGGCACGCAATAAGATTCTAAAATAAAATTATTAAAAAGCAAAAAATATAAAAGGAGTTCGACTTCTGATCTACTTCTTTGTATAGATGTGTGATAGATGTGTCCTCTGTAAACACCTTTACATAAAGTAACCAAACATCGCACACATTCACAATATAAATGCTGACCTTCCCAACCAACTCCCCACCATCCTGCAAGGTAGAAACATTTGTGCTCACTCCTATTGATTTATTTATAAAATATTTTACCAGGATGGATAAATTGAGATTTTTCTTGTTTTCAAGTATGTCCTCTGCTTTTTATTAAAGGGATACTATAGTCACCTGAACAACTTTAGCTTAATGAACCAGTTTTGGTGTATAGAACATGCCCCTGCCGCCTCACTGCTCAATCCTCTGCCATTTAGGAGTTAAATCCATTTGTTTATGAACCCTAGTCACACCTCCCTGCATGTGACTTGCACAGCCTTCCATAAACACTTCCTGTAAAGAGAGCCCTATTTAGGCTTTCTTTATTGCAAGTTCTGTTTAATTAAGATTTTCTTATCCCCTGCTATGTTAATAGCTTGCTAGACCCTGCAAGAGCCTCCTGTATGTGATTAAAGTTCAATTTAGAGATTGAGATACAATTATTTAAGGTAAATTACATCTGTTTGAAAGTGAAACCAGTTTTTTTTTCATGCAGGCTCTGTCAATCATAGCCAGGGGAGGTGTGGCTAGGGCTGCATAAACATAAACAAAGTGATTTAACTCCTAAATGACAGTGAATTGAGCAGTGAAATTGCAGGGGAATGATCTATACACTAAAACTGCTTTATTTAGCTAAAGTAATTTAGGTGACTATATTGTTTTCCATTAAACATTAAGCTCTATTGAAACAGCCAGTAGATGCGACTATAAAATACTAGTACTCACATCTGCCTCCACTGAGACTGACCACTATTTAGCGTTTACCATAATCAGAGAAAATCTGCCATTTTCCAATTAATTGCCAAACAACTCCACCTGGATATCAGAAATGGTTAACTCCATGCATGTGCCCTTCATCTGGGATCATCTGAGCAAGATATCCTTAGGCATACACCTGACTTGTCACATTTCATAAATATGTACTGTAAACTACATACATAATTCTTATGGATAGGCTATTGTGCTTAAATGTAGAATAAATGTATAGGATAGGATTAACTGAGAGTTTGCAGTTGTTGGACTTTAAATGGCAAACCCACTTTGAATGAAGGAAGTGTTTTGTTACCCTAGCGTCATTTCAAACTAGGGGTCACTTGTCATCCTCTGATTCAGATGTTTACCATTAAGATGGGTGAACACCTAACGCACTGATCTTTAGAACAGTATTTTATTGAGAGGGTTGGGGTTGTATCTACCCCTCTGTTTAACTTAAAACTTTTGAACAAGTGGTCAAAACTTCCTCTAAGCCCTGGGCAATTGCCATGGCAATAATGATCACCTGTTCCAGGGATGCATTTTAAAAGGTGCCTAGGTTTACAGCCTCTATCATACCCTTATAAAATAGGGATGGGCATAACTCCATTTTGGAAAGAGAGGAGACTACTTTTTCATAGCGTGAGGTTTCTGTCTGGAACTTTGGTCAGAACCCAGAAAGTATGACAGAGTGTATTACTGGTCCTTAGAGGTGGCTAGGCAGAATGCAAAAAAGAGAGATAATAGTAAACGAGAATAACAAGCCAAAGTCATGATTACAGAAGTACACAAATATGAGAAAACTAGCGATGTCAGGATTACAGAGATGCACAGACACAAGCCAAAGTCAAATTGCCAGAGAATCAAAAAGAAAAAGAAACTTATTAACCAAGAACCACAAGGAAACCATGACAGGACAAAGAATGGATCAAGTAAAGGGGCTGATATAGGCGCTAGGTTGTTGGCATCTTTATGGACCTTCGGTAAGAAGTAGAAACATTCTTGGATGGTATCAGCAGAGTTTCATGATTAATAACAGTAGTACAGAGGGGTCTGCCATCGATGGTTTCAACAGCTAAGTATATTTATTTTTTCCATAAAGCTATGGCAGTATTAGATACACAGATGGAGACAAAGGTGGAATAGACAGAATTCTAAGATGCCTCAGAATCTAGGAGTGTTTTGATATAAATGGTATTAGCAGACTACTGCAAAGAAACCAGGAGACGCAATCTAGCAGGATTCAAGTGAGGGGACACTGGTGTCACACGCTAAGCCAGTGCTCTGAATGATCTAAGGTGCCCAAGTTTCTGGAAGCACTGGGCATTTCTGATACAGTTGAGGCAAAGATCCTCCTTCCTCCTAAATTGTTTCTTGGCCTCAGATAATTTGGTTACCCCTAATTGCATAGACACTGTTAGAATAAAATTCACTGTGGGACGGTTATGCCTAACCCTAAGTCTGATATCAACGTGGGTCACATACTTGATAAGATCATCCAAATTACTCACCGGTGTTCTTAAATATATAAGCAAGCATGACGTGCATTCTATTTTGAGATATGTAGAGAGGGATCTCTTAAAGGACTTTAGGCTTAGGGAAGATTTGAAAGTGTGCGGGAGGTCGTTCCATAATTGCGGTGCTCTGTAGGAGAAGGAGGATCGGGCTGCTTTCTTTTTGTATTGAGGTAGACTAAGTAAAGTGTGGGTACTGGATCGGAGGTTATAGGAGGTGGGAAAAGCCAGGGAGTATTCTGCTCAGGTAGGGTGGGAGTTTCCCAGAAAAGCTCTTAAACACAAGGCTGGGAAGATGAAGGGTGCGCCTGGATTCCAGCGACAGCCAGTTTAGTTCTTTTAGCATGGCACAATGGTGAGACCTGTAATTACATTGTAGCATAAGTCTGCAAAACGAGTTATACAATGTATTCAGTTTATTAAGGTGGATTTGCGGAGCAGGTGCATATACTACATCCCCATAATCCATGATTGGCATCAGCATTTGCTGTACAATCGTTTCCTTTACTGTAGGGCATGTTGGCATGCTTTTCTGTATTATGACATATGTTTTGGATTGAATATGTCAATAGTGTATTAGGTCTTCAGATTATAACTGACATGAATATTGATGACTGTCCAGGCAAAAATAAAGAATAATAAAAAATAAAAAAAATCATCCGATTTATCAGGGAGATCTCTAGCTCCCACTTTGTCCTGTAAATTGTCAGTTAACCCTCAATAAATTGCAGAAGTTAGGCAACATATAGATCAATCAAGCTCTGATACCAAGGTGCAAAACTCAATGGCATAATCAGCAAAGAACCCTATTTGATTCACATAAGGGACTTCACAGCATTCTTGGCTCTACCAGGTGGTTCAAATACTTGACAAAAAGCAGCTATGAATTCATGATGGTTCTATATAAATGGTCTGCTAGTCTCTCCCAGAGTTTGGTTTCCCAAGCTAAAGCATTTTCCCTAAACTCATAAAGAAAACCCACTTTGCTCGCCAGAGGGAAAAATTTAGGCCCACATGGTTTAAAAAAAACCTGCATGTCTGTGGGTTTCCTCCATATCTAGGAGTGGTGGTTAGATGCACCGCTGGACCAGGTGTAGTGGAAATAAGATAAGAAGAAGCAGTGGCTTGATTCTCTGGTGAGAAAAAGACTTTGAAGCACCCTTAATGAAAGCCTACAGTATTAGATCAAAACATATATAGAGGCATGCAATCAAATAATAAAGAACAAAAAAATGAAAACTAAAAACCAGAATACATCTCCTATGTATAAACTAAATACCCAGCTTAGTCTCATTACATATTCTATTTTAACATAGGTTTACTATTTATTAGTGTGAATATGAACATATCTTAATCCTTATAGATTTAGGTAATGACAGTATTAAATAAATGTATGTACTAAACGGTTTTATGATAGTCAAATGAGTCATCATAATAATTACATATTTTATTATAATAAATACGTGATGTTGATTGGGTGATAATTAATTAGGCATCTGAGTAAATTAAAATTGCATGTATTACATCACAGAAGCTATTACAAAGAAGTTAAATAACCAGTTCCACAATTTTGACATACTGAAAAGTGTACACGTGTCAATGGGATGACATATTAGAACACTATCTTCATCAGCTAATTTATACCCACGTGAACAATGTTACATTTAAGAATGTTAAAGGGAATGTGAAACAGAAATTTAAAGTGGAGAGGGTGGGGTCTGACCTTCAACCAAGATTGCCGCAAGCTATTGAATCACTTCTATAACTAACTATATAACAAAACAAGACAAAATTCAGCAATTTGGAGGCACAGTCTCATTTCTACTTCTCTGACTGTCAGAGAAACCAGTTATTATGTTTGTACCATAAATCTAAATGTCAGACTTTGCAAAAATCATGGACCTTCCCAAACTAAGGGTCCAACACAGATACTAATAGTGGAAATGCTAAACACCAACTAAGAGTTACAGGCAGCGGCGTACATACCGCGGTCGCAGGGGTTGCAACTGCGACCGGTCCCGGCACTACAGGGGGCCGGGCAGCCCTGCGGAACCCCGCGACTGGGTACCAGCTTCCACGTTTTGCGGTCCCGGCCCGGGTGGCAAACCGCCAGGGCCGCATATGGAGGGGTCCCAGACCCGATGGACATGGATTGTCAGGGGTCCCAGTCAGCACTCGCGACTGGGCCCCCTGTGATCACAAGCTGAGAGGAAGTGATTCCCCGGTCACTCCTCCCAACTATCAGGAACCGCACGGGAGGAAGGAGGAGGAGGGAGTCAGAGTAGGAATTCTGCCTCCCATCAGGCTGAGCCCCCAGGGAAAGTCACAAGGTAGGAAACATTTTGTATATGTATGTCTCTGTATGTGTTTGTGTCTCTGTATGTGTGTGTGTCTCTGTATGTGTCTCTCTGTATGCATGTGTGTATGTGTCTCTGTGTGTGTCTCTGTATGTGTGTCTATGTATGTGTGTGTGTCTCTGTATGTGTCTGCCTGTGTATATATGTGTGTGTCTGTATGTATGTGTCTGTCAGGGGGTGTATGTATGTGTGTGTGTGTCTGTCTGTCTGTCTGCATGTTTGTGTGTGTGTGTCTGTCTGTCTGTGTCGGTGGGTATGGGGGGGAGGCACGGATCAGGGGAGAGAGGGGAGGTGGGGGCCCACGGATTAGTTTCGCACTGGGGCCCCATGGATTGTGTGTACGCCACTGGTTACAGGTATGGGTCACCATGATGGAATGGAGCTGACAATCTAAAAGGATGGATCTGTAAATATCCTGGATTTTTTTCATGCTCACTTATCTACTATATTTAGCAAATATTACATTTCAGAAAATTTGTAGAAGATGTAGAAATCCACACAGTTATATTTATCTCTATTCTGGAACTGGGTGTCTCCATCTTGGTTCCCTGACGTTCATCATTGTATATGTTAAATTTGTCTACCATTCAATATATTAAAACTTGAGGAAAAAAAACATTGCTTGTGTTCTCCACATTTGCATTGTGAGCCCTGGCTGTGCTTGGACTGAACTGGATTGTGATGTCACTTACTACAATTTTAATATAATGAATAAAAATGAAACCGAGCACCACATATTAAACCCAACATAAATTGCATGCGATTTTACAGATCGTTCTTGCTTTAGATCTTCTCACACACCACATCACGTTCCTTTTCAGTACACCGGAGGGAAAGAGTTTCTAAAATGAGCCTAAAAGATACATAAAAGGCTATTCACCTAAGTGGCTATTGGTCTTAAATTTAAGCTGATGTTCTCAGCCAATGAGATAAGCCCAGGAGAGGTAATGGAAGTTCCTGAGTTGGAAGTTCTTGATGATCTCTGGCATTAGCAGTGGAGGTGAGGATCAGCAAAGACAATGTGCGAGTCAAATGCCAGATGCCCAAGGATAGAGATAGAGAAAAATCTAACATCTTGCATGACTGGTTGGTTGGTTCCTGATCTTTGACTCACCCATAACTCTAATCACTAATACCCTTCCATCTCACTGAATTGGTTTTAAAGTCTGCGCCCCTTCCCTCTATTCAGTATTTAACCATTTTCGAGCAGCTTAATATTCAGGGCTGGATTTATACCACAAGCACCTGCAGACACATAATTCTCAAGCACTACCCAACCTCTCCCTTTAAACTAATTAAAACAAATAAAAATGACCATTTCAAATATGATAAAAATTGTTGAACATATAGAGTGAGTGTTTGAATATATGTCTGTGTAGCTTGTGCACATCTGTAGCAGTGTAAGTGTGAGTGCATGCATTCCTGTGTGTGGGCAGTAGTGTGTAACAGCATGTGCAGCAGTTTGTGTAGTAGTGTGTGAATGTCTGCATAACAGTGTGTTGTAGTGTAGGAAGCAGTGTATGCACACTGTGGGTAGCACAGCTGTTTTTTGTGTATAGTGTGGGTATCTGAGATTTGAGTGTATATAATGCGTGTAGATGAGCTGTGTGTGTGTAAATGTCATATCAGACTGACAGAGTCAGTCTTAATTCTTATTTCTTCTGGCCAGTCCTCCCCCTCCTACAGATAGCAGAGTTCAGTCTGTGGGGATGAGACCATGCACAGATCAGATTTCTCAGACTGAATACAGTTACCCTATACTGCTAAAGCCAGCAAGGGAACAGGCAGACCTGTAAGGAAGTGCCTACTCTGTAGAATGGTAAATCCAGCTCTGTTAACACTATATGAGAGTCCATGACTTCCCATCGCCCTCTCCAATGAGATGTTGTCAAGAGAGTGATTACACATTTACTACTAGCCGTACCAATTCAAACTTGAATGGATACTGTGATAAGCTGAGAGAGGTCAGCTGACACTCTCAGCCAATCACAGCCATCCATTGCCGCTCAGGCTAATGCTTCCTCACTAGCTCAAGCAGTATAGGCGGGATGGGTTGGTGGGGATTCTTGTCTAGCATCAAACATTAATGCTATAACACTGACTGGAAGGACAGCTCCAGTATTCTCTAGACACTATAACCACTTCAATGGGATTAGGCAGTTACAGTGCCTACAGTGTCCCTTTAAAGACAAACAAAATTACATGGATTTTGGCAAATTACAGCTTCAGAGACCTGTTTACCCTTACTTACCTTTCTAAATTCTAACTTGGTATTGGAGATATTATGTACTTTGCTTAAAGGAACACTACAGTGTCAGGAATACAAACATGTATTCCTGACACTGTATGCTAATTTACTCACCTTTTTCCTAGCACCACACAGGTCTCTTTGTGAATGGACCCATCCCTTCTCTGCAGCCTTGGCTGAGATTATCAAATTTTATGATCTCAGTCAAACCAGTATTAAGAGGCTATAGCGCATACACAACAATACGCCATGCTGCGCCAAGCAGCATCTCCTCGTATAGATGCATTGAAACAATGCATCTCTAGGAGGGGAATTCAGCATCTCTTGCAGAGTACATTGTGCATTGAAACTATGCATCTCTAAGAGGGGAATTCAGCATCTCCTGCAGAGTACATTGTGCATTGAAACTATGCATCTCTAAGAGGGGAATTCAGCATCTCCTGCAGAGTACATTGTGTATTGAAACTATGCATCTCTAAGAGGGGAATTCAGCATCTCTTGCAGAGTACATTGTGTATTGAAACTATGCATCTCTAGGAGGGGAATTCAGCATCTCTTGCAGAGTACATTGTGTAACTGAAACAATGCATCTCTAAGAGGGGAATTTGGCGTCTTCCTGCAGAGTACATTGTGCATTGAAACAATGCATCTCTAGGAGGGGAATTTGGAGTCTTCCTGCAGAGTACATTGTGCATTGAAACAATGCATCTCTAGGAGGGGAATTTGGCTTCTCCTGCAGAGTACATTGTGCAGCACTAACCCACGAACCACCTCTAGTGGCCAGCTGAGTGACTGCCACTAGAGGTGTCCCTAGGAAGTTATGTAAACACTGCCCTTCGGCTGAAAATGCATTGTTTACATTAAACTAGAACTACTACATTAAGCTGTAGTGGTTCTGGTGACTATAGTGTCCCTTTAAAGTTGTTCAACTATGTAGGCTATTGATTTTTACCCCAACTGCTCTCTCAAATGTAAGGGACTAAACTCACTGGAATGTTATCGTTTGGCTGTCAAGAATTCAACAAAATAAACATGGAGAAAAATAAGTAAATACATTCTAAATAAGCATCTTCTGCAGAGCATATTCAAACTATAACTTCCCCTTTACCTAGGAATGCCAGAGTAAATTCAGCTATTTTCATAGCTGCCCAGGAGATAATTAGGAGCATGCAAGTATGTATGACTTCAGATTTTATTCCCTGGAGTCATAGTACACGCAGATTGTGGAGTGACCAGGCTTTTGGTGAATGTCTTGCAAGTAATACCAGTAATTGGCACCCGCACCAAACAATTTCAGAGCATCCCATTATAAAGCTTATAATACATTCAACTTTAGGAAAGGGACAATCTCACACAAAGTATAATTTTATTTTAGAGAAAAAAAAAAAAAAAAGACAATACGTCATTGCCACCCTAAATGGCCTGGTTATCTCAACTAAAGCATTTTAGCTAAAATGTCTTTGCAAATGTGTGCAATACATATGTGTGCTCACATGTAAAAATCTATATATTTTCCCTGTTTGCATCTGAAATCACTCTCAACATGTCTCTATGGACAGAACATGGTATTAATAATTTGTGAATTATCTACACCTGACCATCAACAAAATACTGTTACATTAATAGCAAATGAATGACCAGAATGAATTGCAAACAGGTGATTGTTATGTTACAGTGTAGGTTTCAGGATCACTATACTAATGAATGGTTTATACTTTCTAAAAGCATTAGTGTAACAAAAGGCAGTACAAGACACTTTATCTTTCTACAGCTTTTAATAGGCTGTGTCTAAAGTAATCCCTTCACCTACAAATGCCCCAGAACTGAAATTGCCCTTACTGTCTCAAATTCTTCAGTAACAAATGAATGCCTACAAATGATTCCAGGCAAAACAATACAAATTTATATCGCAAACAACAATTCAAAGACCATCAACAGCAATACAAATTATTTATACAGACATTTAAAATACATTATCATACAGTATTAAGCGTTTAAGGGGGACATTTTAAGGTTTTTATTTTTCATTTTGGCGTGCTCTGTTTGTAACTTTAAAGAGTTTTAATACAAATAAAATTTGAATTAAAAAAAAATAATAATTTGAATTAAACAAATGTGCATTTATTAGGTTTATTTTTTTTAAATAGGTCTATAAAATCCTGCCTGTTAGGCAAGTTCAACCGTTTCTGCAATGCACTAACTTTCTTTCACTATCTTTTCCTGTTTATGCTGGGCAGGGTCCAAAGCATTTGCTTTGGGAACAGGCAAGCAGCTCTAGCGCAAAACTAAAAGGCCACCTATGGCATATGTTGGCACTGTGAGGCCAGGATAACCCTCATCGGCCTGGGGGTGTTTTGCTGCCTACAGCATTCTTCATCCGGTGCTGTGTTGTGCCACACAAAGGGTCGGAAATTTCCTGTGGAAGGCAGTAAGTAGCCAGTAAGTACTGCAAGGCCGCAGTTGGCTTAAGTAGGCCCAACCTGTCGGTGTTTTGGCACTCCCGAGTTGATAAGCTTCACACTGATATCTTAGTGAAGTCGAGGCTTTCCACCAAGAAAATCAGAGAACAAAATAAATCAATTAAAAAATAAATAAATAATTGAGTGAGGACTTGGTTCAGTATGTGGTAATTTAGGCTTTTTAGATCACAGCCCTAGAAGATTTTGCCCCTCTGGATTGGCACTGCCCCCTTTTAGGCATATTTGGACATGATATGCACTACTATAGAAATATACCACAAAATGTTTAGGCCATAGCACCAGATTATATTTGGGTTTGCATGCATGTACTTCTAACGTACTTTTCTATGTAACTACAGGAATGAAATGAAAACAGGCTTGTATTTTTATTTTACTTTTCAGGATCAGTTACTGCGATCCCACTGATCTCATCAATGATATCACAGTGATCGCTTTTCCGCTGACATATTGCCATCTAGCTTGCCTATACACTGGCACCAAAATGCATCTATTGGTGAATAGCTAGCTTGGCCTTTGCGTGGGGTATTATGATACTATTTTGCCACACTTTGGTTCTTCACACAATAATTAAACTAATCTTCCCGGCAATAAGCCATTAACGGAGAGGCATATCTCTTTCCTTGTAGTCAATCAGATCTTGGTTCAGGATATTTAACTAGAATGATTCCATTCTCCAGGTGCACTTGTTATAAGCCAAGCCTTTCAAGCACAAAAATTGCCAAATTGGTGGATTTAGATAAGATATATATTAAAAAACAATCAAACCAAAACTTCATGTCTAACTACCATGTCTAATGATTGCATGTACTAGTTAGATGTAAATAGGGATAGCTATCATCACTATGAGCAGGAGAGGCATAGGAGATATCTCCAGATTAAATGGTAGGGAAAACAATAGACCCGATCATTTTAAGTTACTTTTATATCAACTGGCCCTAAATAAGTTGGAATTCGTCATAGCCTTCTCTTACTGTTCAAGTCATTGTTCCAGAAGCTGTCAAATAAGCCAAAATGCATTGCTCCCATCAATTATTGCTTCACACTTGGAGTTTCATGGTGCAAGTAGTATCAGGAAAAGATAGACAACTTGTGGATAAAACAGCTTTTCATGGAAACAAGCCAAGAGTTAGCGTTTCGACTCCATCCAGGAGTCTTTTTCAAGTTATAAAAATTACAGAAGTTGTCGGTCTCTAGCAGGAGTGTAAAACAAGCAATGTAGTTTCCAACAGGTAATGAGATTGAGATTAGGTTCTTGTTACAATTCTAAGAAGGGTTAGAGTTTGATTAGCGTTCTTGCCTTACAGCCTCTCACGCTATCCAGTGTGATTTACTTTGTCTTGTTATCTTCTACTGCTCGGTTACAAAGAGTCACAATTGGTTTTTTGCTTAATAATGTGAAAGAATATTTGCTTTTCCCAAAACAGAAAGTATTATGAATACAGTAATAACTACAGTTTAAAATAAATAAATAAAAAAATCCTAAGATTAGCAATGTCTGGCAATCCATTTGATGGTATGCAATAATTTTAAGTGATACAACTAATGAGGAGTGATGGTTTAGTAATTATAGTGAGAGGTACAATTAACTAGCACATGAATGATTACCGCATGTATCAGACAGTAAACATCAGATTAGTCTTGCAGCCAGGCACAGAATTTGGCTGCAGTTTATACACCTGTCAGAACCAGTGAATGCATTTCATGGCTGCATCAGGTGAACAAGCACACAAATCAGTCTAAACAAAAAGGTTCACAAAAGAAAGGGAGTCACACGCAACTAAACAAACAAAATGTAATGTTGGGAGAGTTACTGAACAAATGAGAACTGCCGGTAACAACAACAATTCAACAATTACTCAGACAAAATTTTTTTTCTTCCAAATAGTCTTTAGAGTGTGAGGTTACATGAATAGGCAGAAATTGACCTGGAAATGCTTGAGACAACTGAAGTGGTAATAGAATCAGAAGAAGATTTTTTATATAATAAACAATAACGGATTACTCTATTTAATCTGCCCAATATCCATGAAAAATCTAAATATTTGTACTAGGTTTTCAGGGTTAATCACTCTGGAATTCATTGTGAATCGAACTTTTTCCCAATTTATCTACTGTGACCTAAAATTTGAAATTCACTTTGAATTCCCGACAATTCACACTACAGAATAACCCTGCATGTTTCTTTCTCAGGACAGTAGTTTGCTTATCGTGCATGGTGTTAAAGTCCTCACTGAAGGAAGGTACCTTCATTTTTTTAAATTCTTTATTTTTGGAAGCGCAATGTTAAGTACATGCTCAAAATATGACATAGGCATTTAACAAGAAGTATAATCACAAGTATATGCTGAAAAGGTCAAGATGTTGTGCACTTTTTTTTTGTGATGTACAAGTAAGGTTATACATGCTGAAAAAAACAAATGTCGCTGAGTAGTCTATTTAAACAAGATAAAACGTTTCTAACTATATGTTGCGCTTCACGGGCTGAGGGTATATGTCTAGCTTAAGCACTACGATAGTATAAATGCTGAGATGCTATGAATACATTTTTGCTTATCGTGTGTGAACGCCCCAGGACCCCCACCGCAGGTGGTTAACTACCAGTACCCCAATTGATGTTTAATGCGTTTCACATGTAATAAGGCTGAAGGTGCTACTAGAAAATGTGACCACATAGAGTCCATGTTTATGGAGGCAGAAGGCTGGAGAGTTCCCATTTGGCATAATGTTTGCCTCATCCAATATCCTCCAACTGTTAGGATCATCTTGTTGCGATTTAGCCGTCAATCCCCGCAGTGCCGCAATGAACGTGCTGCGGGTCAGATCCAGGAGAGGGAGTGTTGCTGTGCACCGGTTGCCTTCAGCCTGGACCAACCTGAAGGTATATCTGCTGGGTCCGGTTAGTGTGAGCTGGATCAAAGCTGTTTGCGGCTGCTCACCTACTCCCCGGCATCCATTTCGTGTGTTGCCCTGGGCTTTTCGGGAACATTAGTCGGGCTGGTGGCGATGCGGTGAGTATTTGTGTTCCCGTTGGCCTGGTTGCCCTCTGCATGTATTTAGGGCCCACCTGGGATTTGCGGTAGTTGTATCCCTCAAAGTGTAGCAGCTAGCAGTTTCCTCGGTGTGAGTTGGTGAGTGTGTGGCTGCCGCCATTTTAGACGTGGCTTGCGGCCTGGGCTGTGGGTTGGCAGTTCTGTGGGGTCCCACGATCTCCTCCGCCAGCCCAAAGGGGGGGGGAACGGGGCCTGGTACATACGGTTAGGGGAGTCCAGCTTTATACCACTGTGCAGGATAGCGGCCGTCCGCCTTGCTCACCGCCCGAGTAGGCCTCATCCAGTGAGTATCTCCCCGAGGGACTAAAACAGTTGCTGCTAGCCTCTCCTCAGGACCGGAGCTCCCATGGGTGTAAGTCCATAACCTTTGGTCATCAGGCGTGTTCAGGAGTTACTCTTTTAGGCTTAAAAAGTCAGAAAGCCGTTGGAGCTGTTGTTTCGTGCGACCATGCAGCATGGCGGTCAGGCCCCGCCCCCTTTTTTTCATGCCATACTTAAACAGTATATAGTTTAAACCTTGCACAAGCTGGTATGATAATGCAGACGTATTTACTTCTATTTTGTCAGATCAACTTGGACTGGATGGATGGTAGCGCTCAACACCGGAGAGTACGTGTCAAACCATTTGTATATGGTTTTGCAGATTACTGGTGGACAATGCCTGGTGATTGCTGATACCATAACCAGTACAGTGCATTGTATCGGCCAAGAGTATCCCTTTATAGGAAAAATAATGGTGTTGTGATGTCCCTTACACAGATCTATTAGGATAAAAATGCTGAAACAATGTTGTGCATACAAATAAATCTGTGCACTGTCACATGAGCAGAACCAAGAGCGTTTGTGCTGCACTGGATCCTATCTTGACAATCATAATGTTCTCAAATATCGTTTTCCCAAAGCATGCTTAAAAATTATTTTTGTTATTCTATTCTACAAACACAGTTTTTCTTTTTCATGTTTTCCAAGATAGAGGTATTATGGTGAATGTAACCAACCAATAGGAACATTGGTGTTGTAATAACTTTCATTTTTTGTTATTATTCTGTTACTGGGTAATGTTTAAGCCAACTGTTTTGTAAACCCATTATTTCTTCTGGAAACTTGCAAATATAAAGAATTATTTTAAAAAACTAACTACTTTTGCATCTTCAAAAAAGAATTACATCTTTAAAACCAATTTAATCAACACCAAACTCAAAGCATATTTTCAGCAAAGCACCTAGAAATGACTTTGTAAATATAACTGAGCTACATGTACCAATTAAGCAATACAAATATATACATATAAACACAAAACTTTAAAACGCATCAGTAGAAATAGCGCCATGAATACAACATCTGATCAAAAGTGGCAATGCACTTGTAGGTCTGCAAACAAGTAACACGTTATTTTGCATATAGTGTCCTGCTGACTGAATTTTGACAGCAAACAGTTTGCTATCGGTGTGACATAAATTAGAGCTCTTTCCTAAATGTGATGACTGCCCTCTCCCCCCCCAGTTGTCTTTAGAATGTATAATTTACACTTTCACACTACAAGATCAAAGATCTGGGTTAACTCGATTGAGGGTGAGTTAGCCCATATCTTAACTCTGTCAGTGATATTCAGGTTAGATGGAAAATACATCAATGCAGCTAAGGAGGGGGCATGCTACTGGCACATAAGCTGTAGTGATTATTTTGCTTAGAACGTCACTTTAATTTCTCAACTCATGGCTATATCATGCAAAATTGTTTTTATCCTGCCTGCTTGGGACTTTACCAAAATGCACTATGTAAAGCACATACATATTCATTCATGTAGTGGGACAAAATAATTAGTAAACTTACCAATGAAATGTCCTGCGTTTGGAATACTGTGAAAACAATCATCTGAAGTGACAAAATGGATATTCACTAATAATTGATTCCTTCGTATAGTAGGGAGGATTTTTATATAACTTAAAAAAATTTTTTTTTTTTTAAAATACTTTTACCATGTATTTGGTAATGTGCATTGCCTAATGGGATAATCTCCAACTCGGCTAAAAATACATTTTTTTTAAAAAAAAAACTTCTGTTCCAGTTTTTGCAAATTGTCAATTCATTTCCACTCACAGTTCAATGAGCAAACTAGGAAGTCATAATGCCCATGTAATGGGCATAAAGGGCCACACTCCCAAAAAGTAATCCCGTCACAATGTTGTCTAATAAAGGATATGTGTCATGAGGATGAATATGTACCAAACTTCCTTTACAAACATTATTGCTGCTTGAAGATGAATGATTTAGATGAATTATTAAGCATGTCTATCTGTAAAGGTATGCGGTACGGAGATAGTACAAGGTGTGCCTTTTCAGCACGTCTCCTAAATTACAGCTTTAGATTCTTCAACAGCAGAGAAAACGTGTTACTCAACCTAAAGACTGAAATAACTTTTTAATAATGTTTAACCCCTTGTGGACAAGAGATTAGGCAAAACCATTGCATCGTATTACATAGCATGTAATCGGTAATTCAGAAGTAAAGTGAATTTGTCATTCACAAATAATAAAAAACAAGAAAATCTAAATAATTAACCAGGACACACACTGTTAGCTCCTTAGAAGCCACTGCCTCAGTATTTAGTAACAGGGAGCACCTTACACGGGAGAGACTATAACAACGTCACCGAAGGAATAAAAAGGCAGGGTATACATGTTTTAAAAATATAGCGAAAGCTACAAATTAAGGAAAACATTTTAAAAAGCTAGCATATTAGTGGTAGTTGCTTTATAAATACATAGGTAGCTTTAAATTAAGGCAAATTTCATCAGGAAAAAAAACAAAAACAATTTGTAGCAGGTTTACATCAACAGATGCTTGTATCCTAATCTCTGCACTGGAGGTTAATATGTATCTATGCATTCCCAGATCCTACACAGAACTCCATACTATTCTATATTCCCAATTATCAAAACATGTAATAAAAAGATATAAAGAAAAACAAATACAGAAAAAAATAGAACTAATATTAGGTTGCGCTAAAACCAAGAAGGTGACAGTTCCTTTTTAAATTTAGCATAGAAAATGCAATTGTATCTGTATAATGCTACCAATTTGTCTAGCAAACTGCATAAATGGAGTTTTCAGATCTGCTTAAAGCCACCATTTTTCTAAATGAGGGTGGTCATTATATATTTTTCTTATTACGGATTTAAAGGTTTCATATTTAACTCTCCAGCCCTAGAATTTACCAGCAACTGTCTGAAATCTCTTGATTTGTGGCGCAGTTTAGATATTTAATTAAACTGATTTAGAGTTGGCGCAGGACTCAGGAGAGGGATGAACGCATACAGAGCTATTCAGTAAACTTGGAAATTGCAACTATTATGCCAAAAAAAAACCTGAAAAATATTTAAGTTGGAGAAGTTTTCAGATTTGGTTATTTTGGCACTTTCATAAAAGCAGTTTCGCTGTTACGTTCTGACAAACACTGTTTTGGAAATTTCTTACCCAGGTTTATTTAAATTTATTTTTTAATTTAAATAACATACATAATACCAATACAAATGAAAACCGAAGAGCTACCAATATCTACTTACTTTCTTCGGCGATTTGTTTCAACGGATAGTTTCTGTGCGCGCATCCGATACACCTTCTGATCTTGCAGCAGAGTTTGCCGTTCTTCCTCCAAGTCGATTTCCAGTTGCGTTTTCAAATTTCTTGTAACAGATTAAAGTTAAGGATATTTCTGGGTACAAAAGATGTCAACTCCAAAATCTGCTAGAGCTTAGAAAACTTATGTTACAATACTGATTACAAAGATACTGTACACTGATGGCTCAGTGCGTGTAAACCGATACTACATAAGTGTTATATAAGACACAGGAACAGGTCATTAAAATGCAATACATTCACAGTGAGATCACTGATTTACATTTAACGTAAAGGTAAAGCCTCAACAACAACAACAAAAAATTAATGTATTCAAATGCAAATTTAAAGATAACAGATGGGATAATAGTGCCCACAGCCTCCACCCCCTCCCCCCAACAGGTCCCCCCAAAAAACAAATGAACAATAAAGTATATGTGTACCAACACTTTTACAACAAATTTATGGTGAATATTTTGCACAATTTGTTAAAACTGTAGTAATGTTTTAATCTATTGCTTCTCTTCTGCCATAACAGGCATCTTTTAACATACGCAGTTTGTTTGGTTACAATGATTTAAAGGACCACTCTAGGCACCCAGACCACTTCAGCTTAATGAAGTGGTCTGGGTGCCAGGTCCCTCTAGGATTAACCCCCTTTTTTTTTTTTTATAAACATAGCAGTTTCATAGAAACTGCTATGTTTATAAATGGGTTAATACAGCCTCCAAATCCTCTAGTGGCTGTCTCATTGACAGCCGCTAGAGGCGCTTGCGTGCTTCTCACTGTGAAACTCACGGTGAGAACACGCAAGCGTCCATAGGAAAGCATTGTAAATGCTTTCCTATGAGACCAACTGAATGCGCGAGCAGCTCCTGCCGCGCATGCGCATTCACCCGAAGAGGAGGATCGGAGGCGGAGAGCTCCCCGCCCGGCGCTGGAATAAAGGTAAGTTTAACCCCTTCCTCTCCATCCAGCCCGGCAGGAGGGGGTCCCCGAGGGTGGGGGCACCCTCAGGGCACTATAGTGCCAGGAAAACGAGTATGTTTTCCTGGCACTATAGTGGTCCTTTAACAATATTTCCAACACTTTTTGGGTCAGTAATTTGGCAATCCTCTGAAATTAAAATTTCTGTGAAAACAGCAACATTTTCTATGATGCAAACCGTCAGTTTTTAGATTAATTTTACACTTTAAAAACCACGCTCAAAATTATGACAGAATTGAACTGTCACTTTTCCGAACACCTTGATAAATATCTCCGTTTTTATATCAAAAATTTGAATTCTACATCATTCTTAGAAAATGTATGCATCTTATACAGGAATAAGATATGTTGCACCCACAATATATTCAGTGATACCCAGCATTTTCCCTTCATGTTAGCTATAATTGTTTACCTTAGATTAGGAGGTTGGTAAGGTAAAAGATCCCTAACATTTGACCAGCACGTTGCAAAAATGTGTGTATGTCAAGGCCACCTTTAGGTAGCAAACCTCTACCTTATTCACGGTGAAATTGCCAGCAATTACACAGATACAAAAATATATATTTTCCTGAAGATTACCAGCTTGCCCACAACAATAACTATAGCATCTTTATGGATGCCGTGGCAGCAGACATCCCACAAGGTCTATCATATGGCAATAAAGCATGGGATTTTGTATAGCACTAGAAACATCTTAGGACGAAAGGCTGCACAGCTGACTGCAGATGCAATACCCTGATGAAGACAGAACAGAGACAAAAGCTAATTTTCACAAAATGAAATGTGTGAACAGCATGAAGTCAATGCACGCCTTAGCAAATTGTTGAAATGGAATTATGATAAGAGGTATACAATATAAACAAAAGCAATGTCTACAGGGACACAGTGTTTATTGACTATTCAGAAAACGCTTATTTGGTTAGTTCAACCAAATTACACTACAATTCATCTGCAGTTCGGTAACCTGTTAAAATCAAGCTGAATATTGAAATTTGCTACTTTAGCTGTTTAACAGTTTTAGGTATATTCTTACAGTATCTTAACACAAACAGCTAATTAATAAGTAGCTATTGGTTGTGCTAGTATTCTAATTTAATTTACATGCTTGGTGGGCTACACTAGGCACAGCATGCACATTAGCTAACTATTGCTGTGCAGGACCCATGTTGAACATGCATATTACGAACGTAACAGACACATCTTGGGGCTCCAAGGCACCAAGAATATAGAGGTGCAGTAGAGGTAAGTTAGGTTTTTATTTTTACTTAATTCACCAAGCAAAGGCTGCAATAGGTGAAGGAATGAGGGGCAATCTCTTCTCTGGAAGTAAGGTAGACTGACCAATTAACCTGTCATCTACAAACTGTGTATGGCAAGGTAAAATTCAGGTAGATCCATCCTTTTACATTGTGGTGGTGATACTGTAAGCAAATGTATACATAATAAGATATAAATGCCTAATGATGGCATCTGGCATTTAGGCAAGACTACACATGCAGCGGCGGTATGAGCTCCATAGCATGTGGTATATCCTAGAATATCTGGCCTGCAAGTCCAAGCTAAGAGTTGAGGAATGTGGCAGTGTTCACAGTTCTTTCGGACTTCCATATTCTTAATCTTTTTTATTTATACATTTTCCAGTAAATCTTCTTGCATATTATAGAACTATGAAACTTTATAAAGTGTCACTCAATAAAATTAGAAATGTCGGAATTCAAAATTAATGTAAAATGTAAGGCCAAAGTAGCCATACTGGAAGCATTACTGACTTACTGATTTTTCCAGTTCAGCTATTTTGGCCTTAAATTTGGCATTTGCTTGCAATCCAGACAATTATCACTTTAGTAACTAGCCTTGTAAGTTGTGCTGGTTACCACAGTTGTGCTTTAACATTATTCAACCCCCTTAGATAACAGAAATTAAGCATGGCATATTGATTTTACAACAAAAGATATGCTATTAAAAGGCATTGGGACTTTAACCACTAAGATGGATTTGTCAGCAATTGACCAAAGGTATCTTGTAAAAATGTCTGTCTAGCTAAAAAAAGTTTCAAATGTTTGCCAGTTGATTAATTAAAGGGTTACTGCAAACAAAAAAACAGCGTTTTCATAAAACATTGGTTTTTCGTTAGATTAACCTTTCTAGCATGGTTCACCCCAATTTAAAAATAAATAAATAGTAAAATAAAATAAAAAAAAGCTTATCTTGATTCCAACGCCCACTTCTCCCTCCAGCCTGAACTTCCTCTGATGTCATTATTCCCAATCGCTGGAGGGGGAAGGAAGTGTGGAAGAAGAGGGAAAAGACATGCGTGGCATGGAGGGGGGGAGGTAGCAGTACTGCCATGGGCTGTCTGGCACCAGCATGCTGTGATCAGCAACCACATTTGCACAGAATTGATGTTAGCCAGGCTAGGCAATGATGCTCAATAATGCTGCTCCCAGAAGTGATGTTACACATCTGGAAGCACATAGGATAATCTCGATATATGCAGCGTTTCATAGAGAAACACTGCACATATAGACTGCAGGCACCACGATCACTTCAAATCACTGAAGTGGTCGTGGTGCTTGGAGTAACCTTGTAAGATCCATGAATGCTTACTTCAACAACTTTTTTAGGAGTAGTCTTTTAGTAAACCCATCACTTCCCAAAAATACCATAACTGCACTCTGCCATATGATGCTTAAGACTATGTATGCCAAAGGATACGAATATGATTTGGTGTGACGGTTCTGCATGTTTCTTTCTGGCCACAATTCACCACCGCAGACTAAAAAGAATTCTTCTGTTTTTCATTCAAAAATATTTACTGGTCCAAATGACGATTGAAAACATAAAAACTTTTGTGAATCAATAACATAGCTCATTGTATGATAGGAAGCAAGCTTGTATGAAAGTCAGTTGGAACAATGCTGTGTTATTTTATAGAGTGAAAAAGGCAGATCTGTGTGTTTATAGCAGCATGGGGTAAATCTTCCAGACACAACAAACATTAAGGTAATGTGTCTGCATGTGAGATAACAATGTTACGCAGCCTAGGTGACAAGGATTTTGTATATTTTAAAGAGGTGTTAATGGTGGATAATACGATTTCAGGGGCATGTTAAGTAAATGAAAGAATAATTAGTGAGTCGCCAATATGACATTTTAAAGGCAAGCAGTTAGGGAAAACAGGACATCAAAAGTGTCAATGGAAAGCAATTAACACAGGTCAGGTGTCAATGGAAAAAGTGAAAAGAAATCAGGTGTATGTGGGATAATACTGGTCAGTGTAATGTAGCAAGAGTTCAGAATGTGCGGTTAAGGTGTTACTGGCACCTTATTGGGTACAGCGTTGGTCAGTGTGTCTGGTTGAGCAAAATATAGTTCATGTCACTGTGTAGTTTATATGGGGTACAAGTTAGCATGCCTGATTACTGAGTGGGAGACTGTGCAGGTCAATATGTACTGTGAATGCAGATCTGAGTGAATGTATATGAATCAGAATGAGTAGGGTTCAGTGTGGGTCAGGGCACATTAAGTGGGCTTCTCTTTAGTATAATCAGGATAAGCAGAGTTTTTTTTTTTATATCAGTGTAGGGTGAATGAGTCTCTGGGTAGGACAGTGTAGGGTGAGTGGGGTTCTGTGGGCGAGTGTGGCTGTATGGATGTGAATACAGGGTGAGTGGGGCTCTGTGATGGGGAGAGAGAGGGGTGATAGTGAATGCTGCAGACAGTGCAGGATTATTGGGGTACATGTGGCAGTTGATTAATCCAGTAAACAATGCAGGATGAGTGGGCTCTGTGGAGGAGAGTGAAGATAATGTAGTGTGAGTAAGGAATAATGAATAGTGAGTGGGGTACAGGTGACACAAAGTAAGGGTAAGTGGGGTCCAGGTTCAGTGAGGGTAAGTAGGGTCCAGGTTCAGTGAGGGTAAGTAGGGTCCATGTTCAGTGAGGGTGAGTAGGGTCCAGGTTCAGTGAGGGTAAGTAGGGTCCAGGTTCAGTGAGGGTGAGTAGGGTCCAAGTTCAGTGAGGGTGAGTAGGGTCCAAGTTCAGTGAGGGTGAGTAGGGTCCAAGTTCAGTGAGGGTGAGTAGGGTCCAGGTTCAGTCAATGAGTGCTGCAGCCAGTGAAGGTGAGTGGGAGACAGTCAGTGAGGGTGAGTGAGAGACAGTGAGTGGGAGACAGTCAGTGAGTGCTGCAGACAGTGAGGGTGAGTGGGAGACAGTCAGTGAGTGAGAGACAGTGAGGGTGAGTGAGAGACAGTGAGGGTGAGTGGGAGACAGTCAGTCAGTGAGTGGGAGACAGTCAGTCAGTGAGTGGGAGACAGTCAGTGAGTGAGTGAGAGACAGTCAGTGAGAGAGTGAGAGACAGTCAGTGAGTGTCCTCCATTAGTGAATGGGATGGATCTCCAGTCGGTGTGTGCTCGGGAAGCCGCTGTCTCTCGGTCGGTCGGTCGGGGATGCTCGGTTTCCAGGCCCGCCGGTCGGTTGTGACTCCGGTCAGAGCTGAGTGCTGGATCCCGGATCCGGGGAGAGCACACCGCGCCCGGCCATCTTAACAACCAGACGCTGCTTCCTTCACAACGGAAACCAGGGAAACAGCGGGGAGACAGCCAGGGAGAGAGGAGGAGACAGCCAGGGAGAGAGGAGGAGAGAGCCAGGGAGGAGAGGAGGAGACAGCCAGGGGAGAGAGGAGGAGACAGCCAGGGGGAGAGGAGGAGACAGCCTGGGAGAGGAGGAGGAGACAGCCAGGGGAGAGAGGAGGAGACAGCCAGGGGAGATAGGAGGAGACAGCCAGGGGAGAGAGGAGGAGACAGCCAGGGAGAGGAGGAGACAGCCAGGGAGAGAGGAGGAGACAGCCA